AAAATATACTGAATACCAGGCATGGTTGAGGGACTCAGCTAGAGCCTAGGGTGCCAGAGTAATCAAATAAGACATGGTCTCCCCTTCGTGAGGCTCACCGCCTAATAAACAAGTAAACAACCAAAGAATTATTATACGTTGTGATACCATCAAGAAATAAACCCCTGTTGTGATAGAAAATAATATAGGCAGAAGACGGCCTCTCTGAGAAATATGAAATCAATGTGGAAGGATGGGGTGGAAGGGGACAGTGGGGGAGAGGGGAAGGAACCTTCCATGAAGGCAGAGTACAGCGCATCCAAGTCCTGGAGTCACCAAGGGCTTGGTTATTCAAGGAACCAAAAAACGAGCCATTGGAGGGAAGAACAAGGAATATTCTGTGATTATAAACATTTCCTTAGTGACAGCACATAGAAGGTTAGCACAGGTTCCTCCAGAATAGTACCTGGTTAAACTTTAATTTTGAAGAAGCGGGAAAGGGAAAATGCCGTTATGTGAACTTGGTGGTTTGCTCAGGTCCAGCAGGGTCCTACCCGGGGCCATCAGTGTCAGCTGTGCACTCCATTCGAGACAGCCTACATCTACTCCCACCCTGCATGGCTCCGCATTCTTTGCAGGCTTCTGTGTCCTGGCCTAATTACACCGGAACCTCCTATTAAAAGTCTAGAACTGGTTCTCAAGCCTGGCTGCAAGTCACCTCTGGGAGCTCTTAAGAATCCTGGTGTCCAGGGGCACCTGGGTGGCTTAGTCCGTTAAGCGGCCGACTTTCGCTTAGGTCATGATCTCGCGGTTCGTGGGTTCGAGCCCCGCGTCGGGCTCTGTGCTGACTGCCAGCTCAGAGCCTGGAGCCTGCTTCAGTCTGTGACTCCCTCTCTCTCTGACCCTCCCCTGCTCACGCTCTCTCTCTCTCTCTCTCCTAGAAATAAAAATAAAAAAGAAAAAAAAAAGAATCCCGGTGTCTGGCTCACAGCCCTCACCAGTTAAATCAGCATCTCGGGGAGGTGGGCCCCAGGCACCAGGGCTCAGAAAGCTCCTCGAGTGATTCCAAAGTGCAGTCCCATTTGAGAGCTGATGATCTGGAAGGATACTCACCACGAGAAAACAAGAGACCTCATTTTATACTCCCAAGTAGTGAAGGTTATACAAGGAATGAGCCAGGCCCCACTCAGGGCCACCGGCGCTCTCATTAAGTTCCCACCTGGCTGCCTCACAGTGCAGTCGACAGACCTGTGAGCTGGGCCTGCTCACGGCACAGGAGTGGGTGAAGTTCACATGGCCAGATTTCATTCTTTCTCATTGCCATGTAGTATTCCATTGTACAGATAAACCACATCTCCTTGATCCATTCGTCAGTTGATGGACACTTAGGCTCTTTCCATGATTTGGCTATTGTTGAGAGTGCTGCTGTGAACATTGGGGCACATGTGCCCCTATGCATCAGCACTCCTGTATCCCTTGGGTAAATTCCTAGCAGTGCTATTGCTGGGTCATAGGGGAGTTCTATTGTTAATGTTTTGAGGAACCTCCACACTGTTTTCCAGAGGGGCTGCACCAGTTTACATTCCCACCAACAGTGTAGGAGGGGGCCCGTTTCTCCACATCCTCACCAGCATCTAGAGTCTCTTGATTTGCTCATTTTAGCCACTCAAACTGGCGTGAGGTGGAATCTCAGTGTGGTTTTGATTTGTATTTCCCTGATGAGGAGGGATGCTGAGCATCATTTCATGTGTCTGTTGGAGTGGGGGAGAAGAAGGGGAAAAATAGCTGGGGAGAGGGAGGGAGGCAAACCATGAGAGACTCTTGAATGCTGAGAACAAACTGAGGACTGATAGCGGTGGGGGGGAGGGGAGGGGGGTGATGGGCATGGAGGAGGGCACTTGTGGGGATGAGCACTGGGTGTTACATGGAAACCAACTTGACAATAATTAAAAAAAAAAAAAAAAAAAAAGAGTGGGTGAGGTTCATTCACACCTTCCCAAAGGTGCAGGGGCTCCAAAGAGCCAGACCTCCTACCGCCACAGCCTCAGCCCAAATCACACATCGGAACAGCCTTGGGGCTTTTCAGAAACACCTCTACTTGGGCCCAATCCGAGATTGCTTTCTGGAAGAGGAGGCCTGGGCTGTCAGGTGATTCCAACGAACAGCCGGGACTGAAAGCCATGGCTGTCAAGAAGATCTGTGCCTCTGCCCTCCTGCACTGTTGGTGGGAATGTAAACTGGTACAGCCCCTCTGGAAAACAGTGTGGAGGTTCCTCAGGAAACTAACAATAGAACTCCCTTATGACCCAGCAATAGCACTGCTAGGAATTTACCCAAGGGATACAGAAATGCTGAGGCATAGGAGCACAAGTACCCCAATGTTCATAGCAGCACTCTCCACAATAGCTAAAACATGGAAAGAGCCTAAGTGTCCATCAACAGATGAATGGATCAAGAAGATGTGGTTTATCTATACCATGGAATACTACATGGCAATGAGAAAAAATGAAATCTGGCCATGTGTAGCAACATGGATGGACCTTGAGGGTGTTATGCTGAGCGAAATAAGTCAGGCAGAGAAGGACAAATACCATATGTTTGCACGTATAGGAGGATTAGGAGGAACTTGACGGAGGACCAAGGGGGAGAAGAAGGGCGGAAATGGTGGGGGAAAGGGAGAGAGGCAAACCATGAGAGACTCTTGAATGCTGACAAAAACTGAGGACTGATGGATGTGGGGGGGAGGGGGGGATGGGCATGAAGGAGGGCACTTTGGGGATGAGCACTGAGTGTTATGTAGAAACTAATTTGACAATAAACTATTTGTAAAAAAAAGAAGATCTGTGCCTCTGATTTCTGGAAAGAACCACGGTGACCAGAAGTGCTGTGTAACCGGGCTGCCGCTGCCGCTCTGAGGAACCCGCAGCTGCTGGTCTTTGTTACCTTCTATTGCCTGCTAAGCAGCCCAGTCCTGACCAGTTAAGGCTATGACAGAGTCCATCCAGCAGCCAAGAGCCCGCCTCACTCTCCCCTGGGTGTGAGGACCCCCTCTAGGCTTGTGGCAGCCAAGGCAGCAATGCTACAGTGAGTAAGCGATGGGTCAGTCAGGTCCACACTAAACAAGCCCCATACGGAACTGGCAAATACGCACTTAAGCTGCACTGGCACCGTGTAGGATTCTGGACGAACGATTACCAAGTTTGTTTTTTTGAGAGAGTGTGCACAGGCACGGGTGTGCATGAGCAGGGGAGGGGCAGAGGGAGAGAGAGAATCCCAAGCAGACTCCACACTGTCAGCACAGAGCCCAATACGACGGTGAACTCATGATCTGTGAGGTCATGACCTGAGCCAAAATCAAGACTCAGACGCTTAGCCAACGGAGTCACCCAGGCGCCCCCTGAAGCTTTTATTTTACCTGAAAGAAACTAGACACACACCTCCAGGCCTAGAAGGATATGTACCAGAGAGGTAACAGTGGTGACATCTGCATGGTGAAAACCCAGGTGATTTTAGATTTTGTTGTTGCTTATCGGCATGTTCTAAGTTTTCAATGATGAATATGTACTGATGTAAAAACATTACTTCTGTGAAGGCTGAGGATGATCGTACAGAACCAGTTCTGTTTCTCACACAACCCAGGAAGGGGGTAGCATGTCTCCCGGTGTTCAGCTCACAACTCTGCTTTTTAGGACACTTCCTGACTTTGCAAGCTCTGCAAGACTTTGCCCCCGCGACAAGAGGGGCCAGAATGGACTTTTCGGCAGCTCTGTAGCACTGGTAGGATCAAAATAAACATGTTTATTCATGCTCTTGCATGTTTTTCACAGGAGACCATTCCTATATGTTTTTCACAGGAGAAACGCATTCTTCACGGCATATGTGCATATTTTATCATAGTGTTTTGCAAAGTATATTCCATGAAACTAATTTTCTCTGGAAAACAAGTATGAAAAAAGAACGGGGAGAGGGGGGGTGTTTGTGAAAAGCCGATTTTCCTTCCTGCAGGTATATCTGCAGGGCCTTGACGACACTAATTCATTGTGAATCTTTAATAGGAGAATATAGACTACAGCTTTCCCCACACTTATTTAGCCATCACATTTTTCCAGGAAACATCTCCAGGGAGCAGGGCTCCCACGAAAAGATTTTGGGAAATGCTGGTCTATCCTTTCAGCACCGAGGTCTTTGACTTACCACAAAACAGAGTAACATGCCATGTTCCATGATGCAGGCAGCAGGCCCCAGGCAGGGCGCTGCACGGAATGAGGTCAGGTGACTCACAGCACGCTCAGACTTCTGTCACCCAGCAAGCTAAGCCACAGATGAAGTGGCTCGGAGCCTAGAACACAAATGAGGAATGGTCCAATAAACGTTCACAATTGAACATCAGGTGACACTTTTAATTTATTCTGTTTACAGACACCGCTAAGTTACACTATTTTTTCAGTCTCATTTGGGTTGGATACAAATACATCCAGAGGCATGGTGAGAGGAGAAACATCAGACATTTCATTAGCTACTGTCATACTTGCTGTCTCCCTCCCCAACTTGTCACCCCCAAAGGCATTTACACCAAATGCTACTGCAAAAACCCAACACATTGACCTGAAATGCCTAACTGTACACTTAGATTAAAAGAACAAACCCCACTCAAGCTCTGCTAGAAATGAGTGGTGGGAAAACAAGGATCTGACCGTGTGACACACACATGGAAACTCAAAGTGAATGAGCGCCTAGTTTCTCCACAAGTGAAAAAAACCAATGAAGACTGTACTCTTCCCGTGGGACGAGACCTCTCACACCCTGCTCAAGCGTCAGGTGGACATCATGACTGCGTGTCTGAAAGCAGCCCGTCATCTTAATCATCACCTTGCAGGGGTGCCAGGGTAGCTCAGTCGGTTAAGCATCCGACTTTGGCTCAGGTCACCATCTCACAGCTCGTGGGTTCGAGCCCCGCGTCAGACTCTGTGCTGAATAGCCCAGAGCTTGGAGCTGCTTCAGATTCTGTGTCCGCCTCTCTGCTCCTCTCCCACTCACACTCTGTCTCTCACAAAAATAAACATTAAAAAAAGTCATCCCCTTGCAGAGAACTGCACTGTACAGCCACTCTCCCCAAAGTGTGTCCCTAAAAACACTGGTCCTACAAAGTGCTCCTTGCAAAAGGAAGTTTGGCATCAAAAAGATTTAGAAGATAGTGTAGGCTGTTATCGACTTCCTGGAGAGGCGCAATGTGCATTATCACAGGGAAGATTCTAGAAATCCTTTAAAAAGAAATGCATAACTGGGTTTAATCCAGAGTTTCCCCAATCAATCTGACCTTGGGATCTTTTTTTTTTTGATAACATATTTCACAGATTTTTTTTTTTACTTACTAGATCACCAGTTTACTATAAGAGGATATAACTCAGAACAGCCAGACAGAGGGATGCACAGGGCAAGGTGTGGGAAAGGGCAAGGGGCCCCTGCCGTCTCCAGGGGGCGACTCTGTCCCCATTATCCATGCGTTCACCAACCTGGAAGCTCCCTGAACCCAGTCCTCTTGGGTTTTTCTGGTGACTTCCCTGCACTGCATCATCCCTGACCACCTCATAGAACATATTTTGAGAAATCATCCTCTATTGTTTTTGTGAGAGATTCTTTGCAAAGACAAAAAGCACAGAAAAATCAAGAAACTCCCAGAGTCATGCGTTGGTCAACAGCAAAGAGGACAAAGGGTCCTAACGACCAGAGCCCCATTCAGATGCCACCCCAACACCTCTGCCATAGACCGAGCCTGCACGAAAAAGGGCAATAATACATTTTCCACAATTTCCATCTGCTGATGTAAAGCGTTAGGCACGCAGGTTCCGGTATGGAATTGAACACGGTCCAGACAGGGGAACCCTGTTTCATGCACAGAGGCCGGATGTTGAGAGCCTTTGCTGCAGCAATCAAGTCATTAAACAACCACTGTTGCTTATCACGCGTCTACAAGGCTTTTCAAACAGACTTCACCGTCCTTTGTTCCTAATAAAAAAGGAACAAGGAAACTAAGAGCCTCTGATTATTTTCAGCAAGAATGACGCGGACCAAGAAGTCAAAACGTAAAAGCTGCTGGCTCTATATGCCAAATAATTTTAAGGTGTTGCAGCAAGGGCAGGGAAAGATGGAGATGATCTTGGAATAGTGGAATGATGTCAGTACCGCATCACATGCATGATACAGAATTCTTTTATTGTCTCCGAGGCATTTCACGTGGTACTTCAAAACAGAAGGTGGCGAAAACAAAGTCCCTCCAGTGGTGGGACTTGGCAAACACGGTTATGATCTACGCCCTGCAAGGACGTAAGCCAGCATTCACACCTCCACGGCGATCCTGGCAAACCGATACTGCAAGGAGGCGGGGGCCCTCAGGAGCACCAGGCCCCTCTCCGCAGCTGGCTGCCCGGACAGCGTCTCCAGCAGACCCGTCAGGCTAACAAAGCCCAGAGCTTCTCCGCAGCCCACGGCCATGGAGAAATCTCCCTGCGTGACAAAACCGAGGAGGACTCTGGAGCAATGAGAAGTCACAACCGGGAGAGGGCCTGACCACAAGCCCAGGGTCAGAGCGTGGGGCCCGGCCGCAGGGTGCCCCCCCACCAGACCCTCAGACACGGCGCCCCCTCGGTTCTGCCTCCTCTCGATTTTCTTCTTCTCTTTCTGTTTCCGGATCTTGCTCTTGAATGGGTCGCTGTGCTTGGATTCCTGGGGCCCACAGTAGAGCCGATCCTGCCTGAGCTGGAGGAGGTCCTCCCTGGCCGGGACACAGATCATGGTGTGAGGCTCGGGGCTGCCCTTGCCCAGCAGGGACAGGCTGACCCATACCAGGGCCCGGGGGAAGCAGTCCGACAGGGCCAGGCAGGCCTCGCTGCTCAACGCCTGCTGCCTGCTTCCAGGGGCTCGCAGGGCTGCCCCGCGGGGTCCAGACCCGGGCCCACACCAGGCTGACAGCTGCTTCAGGGATCTTCTACTCCTATATGAAATCGGAGACACACGTTTGAGGATATTTTGTTTGAGGAGAAGACATGCAATTAGAAGATTGGGCACTGCTGGAGTTAATTTGATTTTTTTTAATACTCTATGTGGGAATGGATCAAAACTGTAATTTTTTAAAAATTAAAAACAGACATTAATATACTTTCGCAATGATACTTTCCTTTTTATGTGACTACTATTCTTAGACACTGAAGGATTCAAGGTTTAAGAAGTTGAAGGCAGGAAAAAATAAGACAGATAGAATCTAAGGCTGAGAGAGACAGTTATAGGAAATGAAGGAAGGATATGAAATTATAAGGTTACTATATAAAAAATCAACATAAGGCAAGAGAGGTGAGCACTTATGGAAACCTGAGCACAGAACAGAGGGTGACTGTTAAGCACACTCTAACAGGCTACGTACGGCAGGAGCACATTGGTACGGTAGCCTCTCCCACGTGACGATGTTCCAATGAACAGGCACCTAATTGCTCATAAGTTCAGATCACTGAAAAGGAACTAGAAAAATTCTAGCTCAGTGATTTAAGGAAAGAACGCCTGCTCAGAGCTTAGAGAGGTTCCTCATTCCTGAAGGTTACAGTCACGAGGGTACTGCTTGGGAAGAAAGGCCAAATGGAACAGGTCACGGGGAACAGCTGCTTTGGTTTATGTCTATGCACGATAATACTTTAAATCGTTTGGTCACTTAGTATCCTGCCCCAAAAATCAAATGTGACTCGGCTGTTTCCCTGAGCCCTCTATGGACACTGGAGAAATGGCTTTCCCCTTCAGAGAGTCCAGCCCTTCCCTCGAGCTTTGCATAAAGGAACAAAGACAACGTTTACATCCTGTAGCCTGGTCAGCACTGAAACACATCCGGAAGTCGTGTGCACTTACCTAAGAACACAGAGGAGACTGCTGGTGGCTTCTGGGCCCGTTACCCACTCAGTCCCCATCTGAGCTGGACACGCTGTGTCCATTACTTCTCTGGGCTCACTGGGGCTGCTTAGAGATGTGCCCACTTCCTCAGGTGGCTGATCAGTTTTCTGAGGTGTGGGGGCACAAGACACCTTCTCTCTTCTCAAGTCCCTCTCCTCACCACGTGGAGAGGAAGCCACAGATGATTCCTCTTGGGCCTGGACTCTTGATTCCCACTCTTGCGTTAACTGCTCCCACGGATAGCAGAAAGGTGCCAGGGTGCCAAGCTTAACATAGTTGGGCCGTTTTGCAGGAGGGCGCCTGGTGAAAACCAAGGAAGAGATCTAATTTTGCACAGTTTAGGATTGGACCATTAAAATAATTATGGCCATTTGTACTCCATCTCTATTTAAAAAAGAAACATACCAAAAAAAAAAAAGTTTTCCAAGAAATATGAGTAACAACCAACTCTTCAGTTTTAATTTTGATTTTATTTTTATTTATTTTTTTATTTGAGAGCGAGCGAGCAGACAAGCAGGGGAAAGGAGCAGAGGAGCATGGAGCCTGACATGGAGCTCGATCCCATGACTGTGAGATCATGACCTGAGCCAAAATCAAGAGTCAGACACTCAATCACCTGAGCCACCCAGGCACCCCTCTTTGATTTTAATTTTAAAAGGCAAGGCATCCACAAAGCGGCCACGCGTGGCCCCTGCACCACACAACGTTCTCCATTCTAAAGGAACAGAAAGGGCAGCGGTGAAGTTCCTCCCTCACTCTGGACCTGTGGCTGCTGAAACATGCCCCCGGGGTACCTGCCTCACTCGGAGACCTTTAAAAGGAAATTAATGACTCAGCTGCCCTACAAGAGATAGTGTCATTATCAGTTTCTTAACGTAACCTTCCAGAGGCATTTTCTGTACACATGTGCAGATATGTACCTATTTCTTTCCTTTCTGTACCCATTTTACACAAACGGTGACATACCAGGTAGAGCACGTTTTGCCTCTTTTCATGTAACAAAATACCTTGGAGATCATTTTATGTTAGTACATTAAGAAATCCCTCATGCTTTTATAAAAGGCTGCATACTATCTTCCACCATTGCGAGTCCACCCTAGTTTACTTAGATAGTCCACTACTGCAGGACTTCTGCTTCTATACATAATGCTGCAGTGAATAACCTTGACAATGTCACACCTGCACAAGTACATCCACAAGGTAAGTTCCTGGAATGGAACTGCTAAAGCACAGACTGTTGGCATTTGCAATTTTGAGCAACATTTCCAAACTGCTCCTCACAGGGTGAGAGCAACTGACCTTCCCAGCAATGAATGAGAGACGAAGAACCTTTGAGAAATGCCACAAGGCACTCCGGGCTGGAGGACTCTTACGGAGTCCCAGACCCTGTCATCAGACTGACAGTCTCCTGTGGGCCAGGCCCTGACATTCCCTCCCCCACGTGCTTCTTCATGCCTCAGGACCCCGAATGGAAATGAACCTGTAGACTAAAACCGCGGTTCAGTGTGAGTCTATACTCTGGAGACTGAACCAGATGTGTTCTGACCTCCCAAGAGGGGCAGCTGGTAAAAAACACTCCCAGGGAACTTGCCTATCCTGCAGACCTTTAGGTGGAAATAAATGAGCAATTTATACAAAACACGCATGCACACACACACACACACACACACACACACAAAATGATGAAAAACACTTAAAATATTGGGCTCTGCACTGAGGGTGCAGAGCCTACTTTGAATTCTCTCTCCGTCTCTCTCTGTCCCTCTCCCATTTGCTCGCGCTCTCTCTCAAAATCGTAAATAAACTTTCAAGATCAAGAAATAAATAAAAGCTGGTGCTATCCTGTTACTGGGAGTGAGGGAAACAGGCACTCCCCTAACTACAGATGAAACCCTAAATTAATACAAACAGGGGCGCCTGGGTGGCTTAGTCGGTTGGGCGTCCGACTTTCGCTTAGGTCATGATCTCGCGGTTCGTGGGTTCGGGCCCCGCGTCGGGCTCTGTGCTGACTGCCAGCTCAGAGCCTGGAGCCTGTTTCAGAGTCTGTGACTCCCTCTCTCTCTGACCCTCCCCTGCTCACGCTGTCTCTCTCTCTCTCCTAGAAATAAATAAAACATTAAAAAAAAAAAATTAAAAAAAAAATAAATTAATACAAACAGCAATTTGTCAACAGTACAGCAAATCCCTGAGATGTGTATCTTTTTTTTTTTTTTTAATAACCATTTATTGTTTTTAATTTATTTCTAGGAGAGAGAGAGAGAGAGAGAGAGAGACAGAGTGAGCAGGGGAGGGTCAGAGAGAGAGGGAGTCACAGACTGAAACAGGCTCCAGGCTCTGAGCTGGCAGACAGCACAGAGCCCGACGCGGGGCTCGAACCCACGAACCGCGAGATCATGACCTAAGCGAAAGTCGGACGCTTAACCGCTAAGCCACCCAGGCGCCCCATATCTTTTTTTTTTTTTTTTTTTTTTTTTAAACCAGAGACCTTACTTACTTGTGGGATCTGGCCTAAGGTCAGTGCTCTCTTCCCTCCAGCTCCTCTCCAGAGGCAGCGGTTTGTTTCCTGCCGTCCCATGGGCCTGAGCCGGGCAGACGTCCTCCTGATGCCCACAGACCACCTTCCGCTCCTTCCTCCCCAAGACCCCAGCCCCCCTGAAGCACGCGACATCAGATGCACCACTGGCCCTCCCTCGTCAGCCAGGCCCTCCCAGCTGCCCACACACCCACTCCTAGCCCAGCCCACTCAGCCCTCCCCACCACAGGCCAAGCGCCAGAGCTTACTGTACACTTACCACCTCCTCGCCGCACACCACGGCTCTGCACCTCTCTGCGCAGAAAGCTTCCCCTCCTGTTCGTGTACCCTAGACCCGCCCCACCCAGCAAAGCCAGGCACATCCAGCCCTCCAACCCCCCCATGCCAGCTGCGACGGGCAGAACAGAGGTGGGCGAGAAGACACGGCAGCTGTGAACAGCCCTACCGTAAACACGGAACCCAGCGGGGCTCCCTTCCGACTCTCCAGTCAGTTCTGCGTCCTGCGTTCCTGGAAAACTGTCTACATGGATCCTTCTCTCCTCAGACCTCCAGCAGCCTCTGGTCCCTTCTTACTCCTAGCGGACAACCTTGCCTCTCTGTTCACTGAGAAGACGGTCACCATCAGGACAGTACTACCTAAGCTCTGCACCAGAGTCTCTCCTACCTACATCTGTATTCACGACTCGGAGCCAGCCTTCCAGGCTGCTAACATGAGATCTGAGCCCGACCCTATGGGATACCGTGCCCTCTCCCGCACTCAAGGGCTCTGCTCTTGCAATGTGAGCCTCCCTCCCGTCTCCTGGACCGCTCCCACCAGCTCCGAAACATGAGCTTTCATCAAGGGTATAAGCTCTGAAGTGCCTGGGTGGCTCAGTTGGTTGCGTGTCTAGTTGAGCGTCTGACTCTTAATTTCAGCTCAGGTCACGATCCCAGGGTCGAGCCCTGCACTGGGCTCTGTGCTGAGTGTGGGGCCTCCTTTTCATTCGCCCTCGGCCCCTCCCCAACTCTCCTCACAAGCATGTTCTCTCTCGCTCTAAAACAAACAAACAAAAAGAGTATACGCTCCAAGAGGGCAGGAACAGACCCTGCCTGCCTTCCCCTGCTGTCACCACAGTGCCTAGAAGGTGTTTGACACATAGTAGGTTCTAAATGAACATATATAAAATGAATGAATAAATCGGATAAATGTGTAAAGATGCTTATGAAAAGCTGTTTATAGAAGCACAGAGCCCAAAATGAGAAATAACCTCGAGGGCCCCTGATAAATTACGGTACACCCACACTGCAGTCCTGGGCAACTGTTTAGAGATATTTTGAGCAAGGGTTGGCAGATTGATTCACACCTCACACCTGGGCTGCTGTCTGCTTTTAAATGACCCATGAGCTAAGAAGCTTTTACATTCTGAAATGGTTAAAAAAAAAAAAAAAAAAGAATATCCTATGGCACATGAAATTACATGAAACTCAAACTTGAGTGTCCACAACCAAAGTGAGACCGGCATGCAGCCATGCTCATTCATTTATGCACCGTGTGTGGTGGCCTTTGTGACACAAGGCAGATCTGAGCTGCCATTGAAACCAAAGGGCTCACAAAGCCAAAAATATTTATCATCTGGCCTTTGGCGAAAAAAGTTTGCCAACACTTGATTTAGAGTCACATTTATTGATATGGGAAAACCATCTATAATACAGTACTAAATTAAAAAAGCAGGTTTTGAAATAATATTCATAATATAATCCCTTTTTTAAAAAAAATTATACCAAGGGGCACCTGGGTGGTTTAGTCTGTTAAGCATCTGACTTTGGCTCAAGTCATGATCTCACAGTTTGTGAGTTGGAGTCCCGCATGAGGCTCTGTGCTGACAGCGAGCACAGAGCCTGGAGCCTGCTTCAGATTCTGTGTCTCCCTCCCTCTCTGCCCCTCCCATACTCACACTCTGTCTCTCTGTCTCAAAAATAATACACATTAAAAAAAAATTTTTTTTTTTTTTACATTGTACCTCAAAGGCACCTTGGTGGCTCAGTCAATTGAATGTTCAACTCTTGATTTTGGCTCAGGTCATGATCCCAGGGTCATGAGATCAAGCCCTGAGTTGGGCTCTGTGCTAAGCATGGAGCCTGTTTAAGATTCTCTCTTTCTTTCTCTCTCCCTCTCTGCTACTCCTCAGTTCGAGCCTACACGTGCTCTCTAAATAAATAAATAATAAATAAGTTAAACATTCTAGAAAAAAAAATTTGTACTTAAGAAAAATTTGTATCCTTGAAAAAGCAGGTAAAAAATTTAAAAATAGTTTGGTCATAAAAAAAAGAAAAAGAAAAATTTGTATGCGTGAAAAAAAATCTGAAGGATGAGAAGTAAGTATTACTGTCAATTATTTAACAAACACATAGAAGACTGGAGCTACATATTATAGGAGGCACAAAATACATGATCACTGCCCTGGTAAGCCGGCAATCCCCGAAAGCGTCCCTGTGATTTCACTCTTATTCATTCACCTGTCACTCAACGAAGTCTGAAAACCAGGCACGGCCTGCCTCTGTGGCTGCGGTGGTGAACAGAAAAGCACAGTAACTCAGCTCACGGTCAAGGAACTACAACATCCCACTTTCCACTCCTCCGTCAATCAACTAATAAAAGTTATTAAGAACACTGTGCACCAGGCACTAGCTAGACGTCACAGATTCCACAACAAACAAGAGCGTTTCTGTGTTTCTGGAGCCCAGAGTAGTAGGATACCGCTTCTCCAAGTTAGCATGCACTTCATAGTAGAAAGGTTGGTGAAGACCCTCACTGGCCACTCCTCCAGTGAGAAAAAAGAAAAATCAGTCTAGATGGATAGATACCAAAATGCAAAAACAGTGCTTATCTCTTTGGATGGAAGGAATACACCAGTTCACAAAGCATTTTTGCACATTCCCATAGTTTCATTAAAATGTCATAAATAGGGGCACCTGGGTGGCTTAGTCGGTTAAGCGTCCGACTTTCGCTTAGGTCATGATCTCGCGGTTCGTGGGTTCGAGCCCCGCGTCGGGCTCTGTGCTGACTGCTAGCTCAGAGCCTGGAGCCTGTTTCAGTCTGTGACTCCCTCTCTCTCTGACCCTGCCCTGCTCATGCTGTCTCTCTCTCTTAGAAATAAATAAAAACCTTAAAAAAAAATTAAAAAAAAAAATGTCATAAATATAGGGGCGCCTGGGAGGCTCAGTCAGTTAAGCATCTGACTTCGACATAGGTCATGATCTTGGCTCAGGCCATGCTCTCGCTGTTCACAAGTTCGAGCCCCATGTTGGGCTCTGTGCTGACAGCTCAGAGCCTGGAGCCTGCTTCAGATTCTGGTCTCCCTCTCTCTCTCCACCCCTCCTCTGCTCACAATCTGTCTCTCTCTCTCAAAAATAAAGAAAAACATTAAAATTCTTTTTTTAATTTCATAAATATGTATTACCTCAATAACATTATACAAAACACAACTTGTATTTTGAGGGGGCAGGGGCTGGTCGTGGAAATCCTGAACAAGTGTCTGAAACAGGCACATAATTTAGGCATGCACCATCATCAAAGAAGGGTCTATAGCCTGGAAGGGCCAGATTGTAAGACAGTCCTGACTTAATTATGTCTTGGTTATGTAAACTCAAGGAAAAGTCTATGAAAACTGCACGTAGTGTAAGAGTTACTGAAGCCATTCCAAATGTGACTGGCCAAAGTGGGTAGGCCCTTCCCTTCCTCATAAGACATTAGGAAACTAGAGAAGCCAGTTTCTTACCTTTTGTACTTTTCAAGGAGATTCTTGGCTTGCTCTTCAGCAAAAAGAACCCCAGCAGGGCAGTCTGGGAAATCACCAGGGATGTCAGGCGATCTTTTATACTGAGAATGCACCATAGCCTCTTTTAACCCACCAACTCTGGCGCCTCGATAGATCTAAAAGAAATGTCAGAAAGATCTTAACAATATACCAAATTACAGAAAAATTAGTGCTTAATGTTTGTTTGGGGAAAAGGGAATAAACCTAAATGCCCATCAAAAGAGAAAGGGTAAGTGCGGGCTAATCCGACAATGGATTATACAACAGCAAAAATGATGACACAGAGCTTCACCAATCAATATGGAAAAATTTGTGTTGAGTGAATATGGTAGGTTGCAAAAGCATATATATGGTAAGGTATATAAAGTTTAAAAACATGTCAAATATAGTTAACTTTAGGATACAAGCACACTTAATAAAACTATAAAATTAGGCAAAGTAGTGACAAACACCGAAAATAAGAATAGTGATTCTTTTAGGAGGAGGATTGGAAATGGAACTGGAGAGAGAAAGAAAGAGAGAGAGCTTCCAACAAATCTGTAATGTTTTACTTCTTAGGCCGGATGGTGGGTGAAGGGTACACAGGTATTCATTATATCAAGATCTAAACTTTTTTGTATGCTTGAAACACTTCATAATTTAAAAATTAGAATTATCTTAAAATATTCCCACTCTTTTTTAATGAAGTAAGTTCTATGCCCAACATGGGGCTCGAACTCAGAACCCTGAGATCAAGAGTTGCATTGCTCTACCAACTTAGCCACCCAGGTGCCCCGAAATATTCTCATTCTTAAATGATTAACTGGGTATCTCTTGTACTAGGCATAACTGCTAAAACTAATCACCTGTGTGAATCTGAGAGTTCTACATGTCTTTTCTAACCTATTAAAATAATAATTTAGGGGCTCCTGGGTGGATCAGTCGGTTAAGTATCTGACGTCAGCTCAAGTCATGATCTCACTGTTCGTGGGTTCAAGCCCCGTGCTGACAGCCAGCTCAGAGCCTGAAGCCTGCTTAAGATTCTGTGTCTCCCTCTCTCTCTGACCTTCCCCTGCTCATGCTGTATCTCTCTCTCAGAAATTTAAAAAAAAAAAAAAACATTAAAAGAAATAATAATAATTTTTTAACTATTCAGAAGAAAAAAAAAACACTGGATTTTCATAAAAATTTTAGCTGCAGTTAATAGGAATATATGGTCAGCACTTAAAAAGTGAAAACTGTATTCTATACATCTATAAACATTAGAAAATTATAAAAATTCTTTTTTTAATGCTTATTTATTTTTGAAGGAAAGAGAGACACAGTGTGAGCAGGGAAGGGACAGAGAGAGAGGGAGACACAGAATCTGAAGCAGGTTCCAGCCTCTGAGCTGTCAGCACAGAGCCTGATGCAGGGCTCGAACCCATGAACCATGAGATCATGACCTGAGCCAAAGTCGAACACCCAACTGACTGAGCCACCCAAGCACCCCAAAAATTCTTTTAAAATGTAACAAATTTCTTCCATGGGGAAAAAAAACCAACAACTCAACATTTCATTGCCACTACTATTGAAAAATTAGGACAGTTTTAAAATTTCAAAAATTTACATTATGTCAGCCCAACTCTTATTAATGAAAATCTGGTTCCAGGGATCTTATGACATATCTCATACCAGAATTACAGCTCAAAGGGTAGAAAAATAGAACTCAATTTCTAAGTTGTGTGTGATGTCCAGAACGCTTTCAGCACGCGGTATTTACCAGGAATGTAGTTTACACACTGTAAAGCCGGAATCGAAAAGGAACTTACAAACGGGATCCAGAAAGCCATGCCCCAGCCCTTTGGGAGCAGGACGTCCCAGCCACTTCCCCAGCCTCGGCGGTCGTCACCGGCCACCCGTCCCGGCTGTTGAATCAAAAGTATAGGTATCTTGGATTCGTGGGGACCTAAAACAAGCTGTGACCCAGGCACCAGCAATTCACTTCTCTTCCGGTTTAAATCCTAAAGTGGAAGAAAATAATACAAGACAAACAACCCTAATTTTCTGGGAGATTCTACTGGTTCTACTTGTAAGCTGCTTTAGAAAGATAAATGCTCTTTTAAAAACACAAGAAAGAAATGTTCTCAGTAAATAAATGTGAGCCATTTGAAATACATGGTATTCCTCTTACGGTGATTTTCCTCTATACAAGAGCTTTGTTAGAAAATGCCAAATTATCTTAAATTTGAGCTACAATATACCAGATGGCTCAAAGTTATAAAATAATACGCATTCATTCTGCTAATCTCTTGGATCAGGATTAATCTTATCTTCTGATTCTCAGTCCCTGCATTTACTTTGGTTAAGATTTGTAGTCATGAGGTGAAAGAGGTACGAACAATAAACAACTTTTCAAGGAGAGAGGGGCAAGTGGGAAACGCTCTGGCTCCTAAGAAACTTTCTCACCAGGTCTTAAAGATTTAGAAGAGAAGATGCTATAAATTATTTGTTAGGTGTACTGTAGGGAGCAGTGAACAACATCTTCTCAGACTTTTCCTGCCAGCTGTAAAAAGAGATGAACAGGGAGGAGAGAAGCCTATACAGGCGAAACTATACAAGACACTGCCTCCATGTTGCCAAGTCTAATTGTCCCCTCACGGATACCCCTCAAGCATGATGAAGCCCTGATACTCCCTTTTTTACCTCTGGCTGAGTTTCCTCTACCATCTCTACATGTTGGAAATTCCAAAATATCTATCTCCTTAGCCGGGACTTTGCCTCCTGGGATCAAAACTTGCCACCTGGGCATCTGCTCCCGGAAGTCTGAGGCCCTTCACACTCAGCTTACCCAAGATTGAACTCATTGTCCCCAATGCATCTGCTCTCTTCCCATGTTCCCCACCTAGCTGAATGATGCCACAATTCCCATCGTTCAGTCACTCATTCATTCGCCCATTCACATATTTACTGCCTATTCATTTACTCATCCATTCAAATGTTTACTGAACACCAATTCTATGCCAAACGCTTTTCCAGAACTTGGGAATGCAGCAGTGACAAATCAGGCTCAAGCTCTCTTTTACCTGAGGTACTGTATCTAAGCTAGACTGTCGGGAACTAACCTACAAGTCTCCTCCTTCCCCACTTCCCATTATCCAAGCAACTACTGTGTCTTCTCAGATTTACCTTCAGGAATCTGTATTCAACCCCAGGCTCTCTACTCCAGCCACACTGCCTCAGTTCAGGCCCCCATCACGTCCTCAGTTAAGGACTACTTCCAGGGTCTCTTTTAAGGCCATCCAACCAGAAGTCCTCTCTCTGGCCCCATCCCTAGTCTAATGCACCTTCCACAGTGCTGCCATGTCTGATCATGTGGCCAGCTTAAAACCTTCAATGGTGCTCGACGTCTGCTGTCCAAATCCTTAAAATGCCTCAAGGTCTTTTATGGTCTGGCCCCTATTTATTTCATCTTCTGCCTCACTCTCAACTCCAAGCCACCAATCTACTTGGAGATTCCTGAACACATTATATCCTGTTTTTAGCCTGGGCCCTGGCACATGCTGGCCTCACTTCCGGCAATCCTTTCTCCACTACAGCCTTCGCTCCTGGCCCCAAGAAGTCTTGTTCATTCTGAGCACCCATCTAAGAGCTCAAATTCCAGCTCTTCCATCCAAGAAGCTTCCCCCAATTTCCCTCATCTGGGCCTGGTACCCTTTCTTCCGGCTTCCTTTGACCCTATACTTTTTCAAAGATGCCCTAGCCCTCTATCTCATCATCTACTATGATTCCTGGTCCTGGTAGGAGGCTCAATCATTGTGAAACTAAAGATAAAACATTTATAAGGGGGAGAAAAAACAATAAGAGAAAAATGTATTTAAACCATGGGATTATCATTTCAAGAAACATTCTCTGTATTAACGTTTTCTAGAAATTATTCTTCTCTAAGAACAGAAGAAAATCATAAGGGATCAAAAGATTGAAAATAAAAGGAAGTCTATGAGATTCTATAGAGGATGAAATAACTTTCATAGTGTCTAGAGTGAGGAGTTTCAACCTGTCCTCAGGACTTTACCAATAAACCTTATACTATTAGTTACCTGATCCGAGATTTTATTCTCTGTGACATTCTTACAGAGAGCTTGGTTCCAAATAAAGCTATGCGCACAGTCCACAGGCACACCCTCCAGGAGCAGCTGTCTAACTTTCTCATTATCTAAGAGGGAAAAGAAATAGCCTTCAAACTACATCCTTCAGTTCAATGAAGTCAAGCTCTATAAACATTGCCACCTGCCCTTCTATTATAAGAAAATGTTCTGTAGGTACTCAGCTTCTCTAGAAGAATTTACTTGACGAGAAATTAAGTTATTTCTATAGCTAGTATCATAATAATCTGTGAAAGAGCAAAGGCTCCTAAATTTATATTTTTAACATTTATTTTTAGTGTGTAAGATATAAATATCATATTCAACTGCCTGTAAAGAACTAACGCGTGTAATTCCACATTTAAGATTATCAAATTCTAGGAACCACTGCAGAGGTGAATAATTTCTTTCTAATGTGTTATGACAGTACAAGCCATATTTTAACTATTGGTTTCATGGTTCTTTATATCAGTCCTGGCCCAATGGTGGTGAGCCAACAGATACCAGCATTCTCTTCTGCCCTATTATTTCAAGTCTCTTACAACCGGTTCTCATTGAACTGAATATCTATTCCTTCTGTAAAACATGTTTTTCTCATTCCTTTAAGATGAGCATATTTTCTGTGAAATATATTGTTTCATCCCTTTAAATAAACTACAGCATGCCAAAAAGTACTCTAGTGGAAAAAAAAGAGAGAAACTTTTTCGATTCTCAACATATATATTGATAGAAGAGATTTCCTACACTCAGTCATTTAAACACTAGGGGTAAAAAAAAAAAAATCTTCCAAATGTTATTTTCTTGAACTGAAAAATTAAAAGAAAAAGAATTAAAAAAAAACAGACAATTCCTGAGTTTTGGCTTAGGTCTAAACTGCCTACATAGAAAGGTCACTCAAAGGCACATACCTGCATGGGTCTGATGGCCGGGAAAAAAAAATAAGTTGGAAGCGACTGAGCCACAATGACATATTTCAGGGAAGAACAAAGATAGAGAATATTAAATTGATGAAAAGATCTGAGATAAAAGCTCCGTAAAGCAGAAAGTGCTTCTAGTCCGCTATTCCTCATGGAGATAATAACCAACAGTATCCCGAGCAACAGTGCTGTGTGCCCCGGAAGTTCACACAGCCTGTCTAGGAGCAAACAGGCTCCGTTTCAAACAGCCCCTGTCTACCCAGAATGCCTTCCTATGGGGTCCAGCCATACAAAGAGTGACAGAACTGGGATTCTGTTCAGACCTGGCTGCAGACAAGACAAGGCACAGGAAAGCACGACCTCATCTCTAAATAGTCTAAAAAATAATAATAAATAAATAGATGAAACAAAGTAGGAAGTATATCCAGACAATGGAATTTTATTCAGAATTAAAAAGAAATGATCTAGCAAGCCATGAAAAGACATGGAGGACTCTTCAATGACTATCACAAAGTGAAAGAAGATCATCTGAAAAGGATACATACTGTATGATTCCAACTATAGGGCATTCTGGAAAAGACAAAACTATGAAGACAATAAAAAGATCAAGGCTGAGAGAGGGAGCGAGAGATGAATAAGGAGAGTACAGATTTTTTGAGCAGTGAAACTATTTTATGATATTACAATGGTGGACTCGTGTTGTTATAAATTTGTCAAGTCCCATAGACTATAAAACACCAAGAGTGAACCTAATGTGAACTATGGACTTTGGACAACCATGTGTCAATGCAGTGCCAAGGGGCTGTGCATATGTGGGGGCAGGAACTTTCTATTCCTTCCACTCAATTTTTGCTGGGAACCTAAAGCTGTCCTAAAATATAAAGACTATTTAAAACAAAATAGAATATTTCGGCAGAAGGGAAAGCCCTGTTAGGTCAATGGTCTTTAGTAGTGAGAGAAAGAGACTATTACCAGCTGAGTCAGCATGCACCTAAGTGGGCCCTGAATGACTTACCAGTTCTGAATGTAGTTCTAAGTCCTTTGCCCAAGGCTCATATAAAGCGTATTTTCTTTCATACTCAGGCAAAAGCCTTCTAATTAACTACATGCCTCCAGAATAACTTAAAGGCTGAATGAAGGAAACAGCTTGTTTTCTCCTTTCTGACGTGTATTTGAAGATGACCAAATTTTAAATTAAAACTTTCTAAGTAAGTTTCTTTAGAGAAGCAAAGGACATTAATAAAAGCTTTTCTCATTTGGGAACTGAATAAACCAAAGTAACAGTCTTCAGATTCACTCTAAATTAAATATCCAGAACAGTTAAAGGGTAGCAGCTGAAGCTGAGGGCTTTTTCTCCCAAGAGCAGAAACAGAGAAGTCGGGGCAAAATGACCAATAATTGGACACTTTGAGAACCAACTGTAGACCAGTGTTCTAAGGGTACTTGGAAAAGCTGTAAGAAGGGACAATCTCTCACCTACCACCCTAAAGGAAACCTGACTCTTCTCATGGTTTGGGTATATACTATCAAAGAGTGTGTAAAGAGAAAGATTATAAAAAGTACATGAACACAACGTAAAGCACTTTCTAAAGCAAATTCATCTCTGGAAGACAAAGACTAGTTAAAACAATCTATCAGAGCAAATCAGCAGATGATAAGGAAAATAAATACTAAAATAATGGTACAACAGAAATTAGATTTTATTTACATGGTGAAATGCTATGTTACGTTGAAAATATGTGCAAAAACACACTATTAATATTTAAATCAAATTCAAGGATCAAATCATCAAGTAAACTTTTTCTTAATTTTTATTTTTTTTATCTTGAGAGAGAGCGCACACGCCGGAGTGTGGGAGAGGAGCACAGTGGGGAGAGAGAGAGAATCCTAAGCAGGCTTCATGCTAAGCATGGAGCCCAACGCAGAGCTCAATGTCGTGACCCTGGAATCATGACCTGAGTTGGACACTCAACTGACTGAGCAACCCAGGCCCTCATCAAAGCATCAAAATGCATCATTACTTCAGGTTCTTCACTGAAAAAAACTGTTTCCTTCTCTGCACTCTCGCTGTTCTATTCCCAGTATTTCTGACAAGCAAATGTGTAGCCATTTACCCCAGAGCAAGCAATTCTGCAACACCAGCTGATGTTGTACAATCCAAATCAATTCTGACCTGGAGATGGTGTCCAATCCCACAGGTTAAGGGCTCAGTCCCACAAGACTGCTCCTTTCCTCAGATGCCAATGCCAATTAGAAGTCCCTGGTTTCCTGTACTTTTCTTTTTAATGTTTATTTTTATTTTTGAGAGACAGAGAGAGACAGAGTGAGTGGGGGAAGAGCAGAGAGAGAGGGAGACACAAAATCTGAAGCAGGTTCCAGGGTCCAAGCTGTCACTACAGAGCCCGATGCAGGGCTCAAACCCACGAACTGTGAGATCATGACCTGAGCCAAAGTCGGACACTTAACCGAGTGAACCACCCAAGCGCCTCTGGTTTCCTGTCCTTCTGACCAGCTGGCCATAAATTGGTCTGACCCATGACCCCTCCTCAAATTCAGTAATTTGCTGGAATGGCTCCCAGAACTCAAGAAAACAGTTTACTTACTACTAATTTTTTTTCTGCTTTTAAATAAAAAAATTTAACTCAGAAACAGCCAGATGAAAGAGATGTATGAGGGAAGGGGGGTCCTTGACCTCGTTTGGCTTAACCACTTTCCCAACACCTCCATGTGTTCAATAATGCAGAAGTACTCCGAACCCCAACTGGGTCAGATTTTTATGGAAGCTTAATCAGGTAGGCAAGGCAGATTAAATCATTGTCCTCGTTCAATCTCTAACCCCGTCCCCTTTCCAGAAGCAGGTCTGGGTGGGGCAGGGGTAAAAGGGCTGAAAGTTCCAACCTCTAACCTTGTGGTTGGTTCCTCTGGACACCAGCCCACCATCCTTAGAGGCTTTCCACCTCATTAACATAAAAGTTGTGACTAAAAGGGGCTTTCATGAGTAAGAAAAGATGTTCCTTTAGCCTTTAAGGTTTTAAGGCTGTTAACACTTAAAAAGAATGGACCAATTTTGGTGCTATTTAAAAGATAAAGAAGGATTTGCCTGATGTGGATAACAAACTATCTTCTTATGTGTACCAGGAATTAGAAAACTCTGGAAAATAGAAGGTATATATCACTGTGATACTGTTATATAAGAAGAAAATACGGGATGCCTGCGTGGCTCAGTCAGTTAAGCTTCGGACTTCGGCTCAAGTTGTGGTCTCGCAGTTCATGAGTTTGAGACCCGTGTCAGGCTCTGTGCTGACAGCTCAGAGCCTGGAGCCTGCTTTGGAGTCTGTGTCTCCCTCTCTCCACCCCTCTCCCTCTCTCAAAAATAAACATTAAAAAAAATTATTTTAATAAGAAAATATGTATTTAGCTTTTTGTGCAAATACCCCTTTCCTGGCAAATAGCTCCTAAAACCCTTGTAATTTACTAAGTCAAAATAGGCAGAGAAAGACTTCAGATATAGAAAGAGAAAACTGGAAGTACATCAGAGAATTAAGTTTTAGATCATGACATTGAGATTCTTCCAAGGGTTAATCTTCCATTAATTGACCCAGATCATCAAAGTTTATTTCTAACTTTAATTATGAATTATCATCCTAGATATGTCACATTTGTTAATAATATTGATATAATACTAACTCCTTAAAGTTTACTGCTTTATGTGACTCACATAAGACTACTTCAAAGATACTACTTTAAACAGGTTTTAATAAAATACCACAATGACTAGGGCGCCTGGGTGGCTTAGTCGGTTAAGCGTCCGACTTTCACTTAGGTCATGATCTCGCGGTTCGTGGGTTCAAGCCCCGCGTCGGGCTCTGTGCTGACTGCCAGCTCGGAGCCTGGAGCCTGTTTCAGTCTGTGACGCCCTCTCTCTCTGGCCCTCCCCTGCTCACGCTGTCTCTCTCTCTCTCCTAGAAATAAATAAAACATTAAAAAAAAAAAAAATACCACAATGACTAATACTATGGTAAGCTTTTATAGAAATTAAATCATGTTTTTCAAGGTAAACTTTAATTTTCCTGGAATTCATTTATATTAAGATAAAAGCCTTAAAAAGTATTTAATAAGGAGGCACGTGGGTGGCTCAGTAGCTTCTGACTTCAGCTCCGTTCATGATCATACAGTTCGTGAGTCTGAGCCCCACACGGGCTCTCTGCTATCTGCCCAGAACCTGCTTCAGATCTTTTGTCTCCCTCTCTCTGCCCTCCCCTACTCACTCGCTCTCTCTCAAAAATAAACATTTTTTAAAAAAGTATTTAATATATAACTGCCTCATTCCAAAGAGGAATTTGAGGCAGCCAGAGAAACTAAATAGAGTTTAACTACAGCTTTAAGGTGATTATTGTAGTCAACATTTAATGGCATACTGGACACTATAATTTTCATGGTTGCACCAGACTATAACACCATTAAAAAAGGAAAGAAAGAAGCAACGACTCATTGAGAAATGTCTAAGGCTCCATAATTAACTAACCTGCCTATATATCTTCAAACACCTCTCTAATCCAATCCACCTTTCATGTGAGATCTTAGACAGTAATTTATTGCTCCCTTAATAAGCTATTAACTACATGTGGAGGTTGAAAAGAAACACCTGAAGTTGTTACTACACATACCTGTATTTTTCCTCTCAAAATTCACAACATAATTTTATGATTGCTCCAATGAAGAGTGTTCAAATGACACTAAATACAATGAGATATTAGCACAAGTGTTGCAAAACTGAGATCAGACTAAAATCCTAGCCGGCTCCTACCCTATGCCTCCCCACCAAACAAGTCCCATGAGCCGCTCCCCTGAGTCTAAACCAAGACAGCTTACCCTTCAGCACCTGGGATGGCCTTGCCAGGATTCGAACCTGGATCATCTGTATGGTCAGACAGAGGCTTCCAATGAGCACAAGACCAGCTGCGGGTGCAGATCCCTTCCTCACAATTAAAATTCTGAAATGCCAGGCATTTTCAGAGAACCCAGTTTGCAGAAAGACAGTTTTTACCAGATACTAAAAATAACTTGAGGGAAAAAAAAAAGAATGTAAGGATCAGGCTACACGTCTCAAAGCTAAACGATACTCCCACACACACCATTTCCTTTGGTCAAAATCACCTTGAAAAGGAGGCAGGTAAAGATCACCCTAACTTTTTATAAATGAAGTTAAGGCAGAGGTGTCAAAGAGACCTCTTATAATGGGACTAAACTACTCAAAATTGTAAGGAAAACCAAGGCTGTTCTAGAAACTTTACCTTGCCATTTTTCTGGATTGGGCAAAACTCTGGACCTCTTTTGAGGCAAGTTTATTCGAGGATCCCCAACTGTCAGTCCCAAAATAGTACCGGCTGGAATTTCTGCTGGTGATGTTATTCCTTTAACAAAAACAAAAACACAAGTTTATACAAAGGCACTCACCATATATACATATACGCTTGTATTTTCAAATGTGATTTCTTCTCAGGCTATTAAAAAACAGGTATATCTCTTTTTTCTCATTGATGCTTTTCGGGAGTAAATTAACATTTATAACAAGTGACGTTTCTTATCAAAGACATTAAATGAACAAAACGGAACATTTTACAACATGGACATGTATATTTCCGTCAGTGGTAACCACAGTAACTTTACACACAAAGGCAACCACATACAGGTTAAATTTAGTCCTTAGTTTAGTACCTGGTCTATGTGTTTACCTATTGTAATGGAGTGGTGGCTGTTAGGAATACTAATATATACTCAAATAGTGTTTCCCATGCTCACGGAGTCAGGTCTCTCCCGGACATGGTTTCCTGCTGTATTATGGCAGGGAGTTCCAAGTTAAAAAGCACCACTCCATGCAGGTAGCCCAATTGTAAAACATTCTTTCAACCCGCTTCCCACTCCTCCCTTCTTCCCCAAACCACCCCATCGACATTCCCTCTGAATACCTCCCAACAACTCAAAAATGGCTTCTTGTCTGTGATGAAGGGAAACGCTATCAGGATTCTTACAGGTTTCAATCCACCAATGGTGAGGTGTCTTCTCTGCGTCCTCTCCCTCCTGAAAAATAACAACTCCTATTCACCAAACAATGAGCCAGACTTGATCATTTTATTATGGCTGTGATATGTGGGAAAGTGCCATTATATTAACACAGTAATTAATACCAGCCTGACTACTCTTCTCACCAGAGGCAAGGACATTGTGTGACACTTTTCTCGAGATTTCACACACCAAAACAACATGCATGGTTTTCAGAGAGGCCACCCAAGCTGCTCCACACCCACGTTTTTCTCTCAGCACACTACTGACAGAAGAGGCCTGCTCCTGGCTCCTCCCCCACTACCACCAACTTCATACCGATTTAAGCAACAAAACCTTCCCCACCAAAGAAAAAGCAAACCTGTTCGAAGAAATCTTACAGCATAAGGATATCTTACAATCAGTTACATTATTCCAAGAAACTTCAAATAAGACACACAAATACTTTACTTGTATCTTCCCCCAGACAGAACCAGGAATTAAGCAAGCTTTCAAAAAGCACCTCAGGGGCACCTGGCTGGTTCAGCTGGCAGAGAGTACTACTCTCAATCTCGGGGTCATGAGCCCCATGTTGGGTACAGAGATTACTTAAACAAAAGAAAACAAAACAAAAAACAAAAAAGCACCTCAAGTACCAGTTACACACCAAGGAAGGGAACCTACAGCCATGATTCATAGTGAAGTTCACTGAAGTAGGATGTGTTCCTACAGATTCTAAAGAAGTACCCTGTTAACATACGGGCTATTTACCTCACAGAAACTCAGACAACATAGCTTACAGGTTTAAAGTACAGGCTCTGGAACCAAACTTCTTAGGTTCAGATCCTCCCTGAGCAATTTGTTAGCTACAGTGGAACCCCCGCTCTGTACCAGGCACTGTGCTAAGCACTGGAGACAGAGTCTTTGCCATTAAAGTTCAATGTGAACACTGCATAAGTACACAAGCAAATCTAGACATATAAATTGAGAAAATATGCAAAATATGATGAAATAGAATTATATAATTTAACTTGGGGGTCAAGAAAGGATTCTAGAGGTAAATGATATAGAGGCTGAAATCTGAAGAACAAGGAAGGTTAACCAAGCAAAGGTGGGGGGTGGGGGGCCAGAAAGTTGAGCCAGGAGGGGAAAGGGGCTGTGAAGGCTCTAAAGGAGAAATCTGACATATTCTAGGACCTGAAAGAAAGCCAGTGTGGCTCAGGTGCAGGTAAGGAGAGATGAGGCCAGAGACAGGAGGCACAAGAGTATGCAGTCACAAATAAGGGCTTTGGATTTTACCATAAATACAAGAAGAAGCTATTCAAAAGCTTTTGATTGGGAAGTAACATGATGTGAATAAATTGTTAAAAGATCATTCCATTTCCTGCATGGAGAATGGATCGAAAAGAAGGAACAGTAGAGGAAGTGAAAAAGCTGCTTTGGTATGCAGGCAAGAGCCACAGAGGTTGAGGCTGGCGTGGAAGATCTGACCATGTCAAATCTGTGAAAGGCACAGTCAACGGAAGGGTTAGTTGCACGAATACAGGGGAAACAAACCGAATTTGAATCCGAGTATCTGATTCCTAACTTAATCTCTCCTCTATATACCCTGTCCACTTGATAGCCACCAGCCACAGACAGCAATTTCTATTTAATTAAAATTAAACAAAGGTACAAAGTCAGCTCCTCAGTCACACTAGGCACATCTCAAGTGCTCAAGGGCTATACGTGGCTAATGGCTACCATACTGGATGCCACAGAATATCATCCTTGCAGGAACTTCTACCAGACAGTACTGCACTAGACATACTGCCCTTAACCTTTTAGGGAGCACAGACCCTTAAAACTAGCCCCAGAAAATATGCACCACACAAGTACAAACAAACAAATAAAACCCGGCACACACTTGCAGTAATTTTAGGGGTTCTCTGTTACCCACAAAATTCACAAACTTGCAAGGACAGTATGTACTTAAATAAGAACAAGTCAGTTTACTTATTAGATTTGCTTAGATTTGTTCTTCTAGAAGTGAAATAGGGCAAAGTACTTGATAATAAGCATTTAATAAGTAGGGAAATAAACATTTATAGGGCATGGCCCCAAATGCTACTAAAATAGGTGCGGTGTCACAAATTTGCCAAGGACATGACTGAATGAAAGCACGACAGTCATGTTTACTCTTACGGTATGGACAGGAGCAGCTTTGAGGGCCTCGGTTAGGATGGAGTGGGAAAGTGGACCGATCAGCCGCAGCCTGTTCATCTCCATCGTCAAATCACTGAAAGAGAGAAAAGGTCTTACGATGGAAACCTCCTTTGGACACAGTGTCTGAGCCACAGGTAAGAAGAGAGCAAGTCTTCACTAAAACCGTTCAGTGGGTTTAGAGAGAACTGAGCCTGTACCTGAGGATAATGCCTGTGGCTGCAGAGATCCAAGAATACGGCTCACATGGATCTCTAGTTCCGTCACCGATCACTTTTTTAACTGGTTTAGCATTTTCTCCATCATCTTTCCGTTTTCTTTTCTTGCCAATTTTCTCATCAGGCAGTTCCATTTGGCTTTTTTCTTGGGATGGTGTCAACAGGGGCTCAGGGGTGCAGATGTCTGATTTGATGGGTTCCGTACACTGGCACGCTGCTTTTATTTCCTCTAAAATATCCTACAGAAATATTTAAAAACTTCAGGTCATTTAATTCATATTATTTTTTCTTCCTATAAAAATTTACATTTGTATCCCTTTACAAATTAAATGAAATTCATCATCATCAAAAAGCTTTCCTGGGGCTTCTGAGTAGTGCATGGCACTTGAAACAAAAAACTCCTAATGTAAAAGAGTTATGAAAATAATGGGACTTCTCTGAATAATTAAAATTTTTTGAAAATGAGATTAAAGAGAAAATTTATAGTCTACCATATAAAAGCAGTGACTATGCAAAAAAAAAAAAAACAAAACAAAAAAACAAAAAAGAGAGAGAGATTAGAAATCATCCGAATCTGGGGCACCGGGAGGGCTCAGTTGGTTAAGCGTCCAACTCTTGATTTCAGATCAGGTCATGATCTCAGGTTGGTGAGTTCGGGCCCCACACCAGGCTCTGTGGTGGCAGCACAGAACCTGCTTGGGATTCTCTCTCCCTCTCCCTCTCTGTCCCAACCTTGCACACACATGTGTGCTCTCCTCTCTCAAATAAATAAATAAATAAATAAATAAATAAATAAATAAATCATCAGAATTAACTCAAAATGGCTTCTCATCATCAAAAAGGCTCTTACAAGCACCTGGACACCAATGAAGCAATTCAGACCCAGTAGGACCATTTGACCAAATGCAACATTTCAAGCCACTGCATATGTAATATGGTGGGTTTTTATCTCTACTTCGACTCAAGGCTTACTAAAATGTGAAGGGTCAAGATTTGCTTCATTTCATATTCACGTAACATTCTTCCCTATAGTCAAATACCAAGCTCTCAGCCAAAATTTATACTACTTAAATTTCCAAATCATTGATTTCAACAGTAATTAAGAATGCAGTAACAGCCATGAGGAAGTAACTCAAAGATTATACCTGTTTCAGAGTTGGGTGAAGCCAGATCCATAACTGCCTGCTCTCAGAAGTGTGACCAGGGGTCGACTCAGGCCTCCAAATAAACGTAACAGGCCCCAGCATCTCTCTAGGGTATTTATTTGCCCGGTAAAGCGTGACACTACCTTGGCGTTTTCCAGACAAGCAGTGAACTGCTGCAAAAGTCAGTCCTGACACAGACAAAAACAAAAGTCCATGATTTCCCGTGCCGAGATGGCAGTGCTGTTTCCTGATGGCCATCCTCTTATCTGCTGTCTATCTCCATGAGGGATGAAGTGCTGGGGTTGACCACTGCCTAGATCAAACCCTATCACACAGTAAGTCCTCAATAAACACTGAATGAATGAATGAATGAATGAATGAATGAATGAGGACTGAGTTTCTGCCCTACTAAATTCACTACACCAAAATAATGGTTCCCTCATTTTTCACTTAACAAAGTTACAAATAATTTGTAACCACCCCACCTTTCTTACATTAACATTCTCCTTGGGAACAAGAACTATCTCATGCATTTTTATGTATGTTTAAATTCCAAAACATGGGGCGCCTGGGTGGCTCAGTCGGGTTAAGTGTTCGACTTCGGCTCAGGTCATGATCTCATGGTTGTAGGTTCGAGCCCCGCGTCAGGCTCTGCGCTGACAGCTAGCTCCGAGCCTGGAGCCTGCTTCAGATTCTTTGTCTCCCTCTCTCTTTGACCCTCCCCTGCTCATGCTGCCCCCTCTTTCTCTCAGAAATAAATAAAACATAAAAAAAAATTTAATAAAATAAATTCCAAAATGCTTACTTGCTCATGAAATGAACAAATATGCTAAGACTAAAATAGCACTGGGCTTTAAAACCAGTTTACCTGCATCAATGTTACACAATGGAGAAAGTGCTTTCAGTATTTCTTCCTCTTTGCCCTTCAGCTCCAAACAACAGTAGTAGGATAAATCCTGCACAAAGGGAGAGACATAATCAAATACTTAGGATGGGACATGGGAAAAAAACCATAAAAAAAAGCCAAAAGTCACATCAGAAAAACTATAAGTACAAGACACAAAACAAACTGCTAAAGCTATGATTTCATAAGTCAAAATCTGAAACCTATCTATTCTTTGGATATTAGCAAATATTTTTAAACCAAATTAAAGCAAAGTACAAAATGAACTTTCACTTGAAATTTAAGTTACTGTGTCTTTTCTAGACAGAAAATCTGTGAGGGTGCTTCAGTCAGAGGAGCATGAGACTCTTGATCCTGAGGTTATGAGTTTAAGCCCCACATGGGGTATAGAGATTACTTAAATATATAAAACATTTTTTAAAAATCTGTGTTTTATGCCATATTTACAGACAAGTTCTAACTAGATTATAAAAACTGCTGCCTCTAAGTAAAGGGTTATTGCTCTCCCCAAATCTAAGGTAAGAAATCAGAGTAGAATACCATGATAGCAATATATTCTGCAAAGTTATGCTAAGGTTGTTCACTTTGGTTAGCTAATTCAGGACTCCAAGATTATTTAACACTGAACCTAGATACATAATGTTGTAATCAATTTATCCCATATTCCTCCCGTGCTTCGTCTTGACTAGGATATTCAACTCTGATTAAACAACGTACAAGGAAAAATGAAAGTAATGAGAGCAAGACCTTACCAATTTAAATGAGATGGCGAGAGATCAACTGAGCTGGTAAAATCAATATGCTAAAGAATCAGAACCGCAGTAACAGTCACCATGGGATGACGAGTGCCAGGGGCTGGGCTGTCATCTACCCCGCCCAACACGGGACGAGCCAGGTACTTTGAGTTGCCGTATCCGACAGGGGGATACTGACACAGAGACTGTCACTGAACAAAGCCATGTATCAGCAAGTGGAGAAGGCAGCATTTGAGTCAGGCTCACTGACCCCCAAACCAGCCCCTCTGCCCAGCACCTTTAAGCAATTTAGTACACTCAGCACCTGAAACTAAAAAGGGAAACTACAGCAAAGCTTCTGCCAAACTCCCAGAATTCAGGGCTCTCACACACACAGAAATCTTCCCAGCAGCAGGGATCCATTGTTAGCCGTCAATGGGCAGACGACCCTCACCCAACTCTGTACGACTAAGTGACAGCACTACACAATGGTTAAGAGCCTGGAAGTCGTGGCATCAGACTCAGGCTCAAATCTCAACTTCACCACTCACTGGTTGTATAGGTGTGGGTCAGTTACCTATAACTTCTCTGTTCCTTAGTTTCCCCATCTGTAAAGTGGAAATAATGCTAAGTACCTCTGCTGTGGTGTTGTTGTAAGGACTAAATGAGTAAATGTAGATAAACCATGAAAATCGGGACTAGCAAAAGATGAAGTACTCAAAAATGTCTTTTACTATTAGCTATCATTTGTATTACTTAGGGCTGATAAAATGTAAAGAAAATATCTGATAATGTCAGCAAAAACCTTGCCCCAAATAAGAAGTAACAGACCCACGTGTCTGAAAACTTTGGAGATGGCAGTGTACAGCAGAAAAAGCACAGGCCAGGGAAATTAGCTGCCCCAAGGCTACCTAGCCACCGACAAGGTGCAAGACTCTGGACAAGCCACTTTATCTCTCTGGATCCCAGTTTCCACAACGTAAATAGAGGTTTTTACAATAACCAGTGATTTCTGCTGCTGAATCTTCAAATCAAAAGCCCTTAAAAGGTTCTTACCTTTATTTCACACCCATCAGGATGGCTATTGTCAAACTGAAAATAGTAAATATTGGTGAAGACATGGAGAAATTGAACGCTCACACATTGCAGGCTGGAATGAAAAATATCATAGCCTCTATGGAAAACAGTAGGGCAGTTCCTCAAAAAATTAAACATGGTATTACCATGTGAAACCCCAATTCCACTTCTAAATATAAACTCAAAGAATTGAAAACAGAGACTTGGAAAAGATATTAGCATGTTCATGTTCATAGCAGCATCATTCACAATAGCCAAAAGGTGGAAACAATCTAAATGTCCACTGCTGGATAAACAGACAAACTAGGCGTGATGTGTACATACAACGGAGTTCTATTCAGCCTTAAAAATAAGGGAAATTCCAACACATGACACAACATGGCTGAACCTTGAAGACGTTATGTTAAGTGATGTAAGCCAGTCTCCAAAGGATAAATATTGTGTGATTCTACTTATATGAGGTATCTAGAATAGGCAAATTCCTAAAGACAGAAAGTAGAATGGTNCTGACAAAAACTGAGGACTGATGGATGTGGGGGGGAGGGGGGATGGGCATGGAGGAGGGCACCTGTGGGGATGAGCACTGAGTGTTATGTAGAAACTAATTTGACAATAAACTATTTGTAAAAAAAAAAAAAAAACTTGGCCAAGGCTTCTAGTTACAGATCATAGGGATAAAAGGTCAAGCACAGGGAATATAGCCACTGATACCATAACAGTGCTGGACAGTGAGAGATGGTAGGTAGCTACGTCGTGGCAAGCACAGCATAAAATATAGAGAAGATAAACCCCTATCTTGTACACCTGCGACTACTGTAACTGTGTGTCAACTACAATCAGATTAAAAAAAATCTTAAAAAAACAATAAAACTTGGCCAAGGCCACCCAGCCATTGAAAGACAGAATCTTCAAAGAGTAAATTTCTAAGTATGTCCTGGAAGAGTGAAAGCGACTGATTTAGCAAATGGGGGAAGGGAAGAGGGACAACCAGATAAATACTATCACGAGGCTCTAAAACAAACTGCCCTCTCAGAGAATTTAAAACAAACTTCCTGGCATCCCACTGAAGCCTAAACATCTAGAACAGCATTCTGAACACCACTAAGGGCACACAAATATTTGTTGCGGAGGAAGGACTTCTAAATGAATCAATGCTGAATAAATCTTGAACATGACCACCAAGACCCTGGGAGATCTGGGTCCGACTTATCGTTCCTGAACTAATCTCCCCTTAACGTCACCCTCTCCTAATGACTGCACTCTCTTCCTCTGTATCACACCAGATTTATTTCACTTCTTCCCTCTTACCTGACTTCCTCTGCTTCCCCAACTCTCCCGTTTTCTGATCCTTTAGAGCTGAGCCCAAACAGCACTTCCATTTTGTCTAAACAAAAAGAAAAAGAAAAGCAACCGGAGAGGCGTACCTGGAGGAGGCAACGGTGTGTCATGGCCCGGTAGCAGGCTCTGTGGCTCTTGACTGTCGGTCTCTCCCCAAGACAGTAGCCCCACTTCTTGACCATGTGGAACCGTTTGGCGTGCCAGATGTGGGTCTCTAACCAGATGTTCTTCTTCTGTCTACGGTTAAATTCTAGCACCCGGTTTTTGTGACATCTTCGAGCTTTATGGCATTTATTTTTTGAATGTTCTTTTTTCTGGTGCACTGCTTTCTCCGCCTGCGATTTCAAGAAGAGAGGAGAGTCCTAGTTGGTACATATCTCAAAATAATTCAAGCGACTAACTTTAGATTAGGCAGAGTACCTCTCACACTCCATCAGTATGCTTAGTTGTTTGACTTGGCGATCTCTCCAGTGAAAGAGCAGAAAGAAGGCAGAAGAGTGAAGATTTCAGAAACAGGCAAACTTAGAGAGGAAGCACACTGCTATCCCTTACGAACTGGGCATGCTTTGTGGACTATGAGGATTAGAGTATTTATAAAATGCTTCACACAGTAACGCAAGCTTATTGTGGCTATTTGTATTAGAGAGTAAGAGAATAAGTCAGATGCTAGCTTTTTTGTTATTGGTTTTATTGTCTTTTAAATCTCTGAAATTGGAACTAAACCTAAAACAGGATGAAAAATGTCAAGTGAGGAAAACCTATACATTTCAATGTCAGTTAGGTACTGATAGACCATGGAAAACAAACCTTACATTAAATGTAGAAATCATAAAATTCCTGTTCAGTTTTCACTCTTAATCTCCTCCATAGCTGAGCTAAACTTGTGTGGGGAACCAGAAGCTAAGACTTCTGGGTCACTGCTTTCAACATAGCACTGATTTCAGCAGCTCGGGCTTGAGTGAAAGTAGAAGCTATAGACAAAACTCTTCTCCATTACTTTGCTGATGAGCTCCCCTAACCCCACCACCGGTATAGTGCCAAACACAGAAGATACGCCATGAGGAACTTTTGAATGAACTAGCAAAGACATGGGTAGTTTAGACAATCTTACAATGTCCAAGCCAAGATTTTTGGTAAAGCCAAAAACAATAAGACTCAAGCAAAATTAAATCTAAGTTTCAAGTTTTCGATGTTGAAAAAGTCAAAAAGCCAGTACTAGGCATTGTTGCTGCTTTTTCTCTTGATTTTCCAACTCTGAGCTGGCCACACTACCAAAATGCAGAGCAAAAATTGCTTATGTGGTAAGAAGATCAGGATTTTATTTTCAATCTGAAGGCAGAACATCAACTATTTAACACCATAAAAATAAAAGGGATTTCCGACCTGAAATTAATGGAAAAAAATAAAATAGAAGGAAGGAAGGAAGGAAGGAAGGAAGGAAGGAAGGAAGGAAGGAAGGAAGGAAGGAAGGAAGGAAGGGCTTCCAAATGCTATAAGTAATATCCAACTGCTTGCTAATTAGACAGCAAGAAGGATGGTGGGGGGGTAATGATTAAACCAAAAAATATGCAAAATGAGCATGTTGCTTTTCACTTTAGTTCTGTCAGGTTAACATTTCTCAATTTCTTTTAGGAACCACTAACTTGAACATTTAAACTAAGAAAAACGTATACCTCTTTCTGGGCAATCTCCTGCAACCGCCTGGGAAGGCGTTTGACATTGTGGCTCATGGCTCTCCGTCTCATGTGCCGGGGCAGAGTCTGGAAAACCAGTGAATTAGAAGACTTCTGGGTCACTGCTTTCAACATAGCACTGATTTCAGCAGCTCGGGCTTGAGCGAAAGTAGAAGCTGTAGACAAAAATAGCACCGTAATTAAAGACAAGTCTTGAATCAATACTTCTGGTAGATCTCAGAAGGAAGACAGAGCTGAAGTACATGAACTTAAAATTCACCCACCACTCAAACCCTTAATTAGATTAATATAGATAATGGCTATATCTGTATTATAAGATTATAATTTTTTTTTTAATTTTTTTTTTTTATTTATTTCTAGGAGAGAGAGAGAGAGACAGCGTGAGCAGGGGAGGGTCAGAGAGAGAGGGAGTCACAGACTGAAATAGGCTCCAGGCTCTGAGCTGGCAGTCAGCTCAGAGCCCGACGCGGGGCTCGAACCCACGAACCGCGAGATCATGACCTAAGCGAAAGTCGGACGCTTAACCGACTAAGCCACCCAGGCGCCCCTGTATTATAAGATTATAAACCAATCTGTTTCTACTTCTATTTTTCAAGTTCTCTATAAGGATTCAGTGTTACTTTTTTAATCATAAAAAAAGTTCAAAAGCATGTTTACAAACAAAACCTTAAAACGGAGGGCTACATGCAATATAAATCACAACCATTTTTTTAAATATATAAAGTTTCATTTATTTACTTTGGGGAAGAGAGAGAGAGCATGCGAGCAGGCAAGCTGAGGGGGGAGAGAGAGAGAGAGAGAGAGAGAGAGAGAGAGAGAGAGAGGAATCCCAAGCAGGCTCCATGCTGTCACCACAGAGCACAGCATCGGGCTTGATCTCACAAACCGTGGGATCATGACCTGAGCCAAAATCAAGAATTGGACGCTTAACCAACTGAGCCACCCAGGCACCCCAATCACAACCATTTTCAAGTGCAACAATCACATAAGAAAACAAAGGAAAAACAAAATTTTAACAATGATTGTGACTTCAAGACTTTTTTTCTTTAATATTTTCTGCATTGTCCAAATATGCAGTCCTAAGTATTACTAGTTTTCCTTATTGAACAGCAGGCCTTTTTTTGAAGTGTAAACAGAACGCTAGGGAAACTGAAGTGAATTTTTCCCAAAAGGCACAGACACAAGAGGCCAGAGGCCGTAAACCTAAGGAATACGGGGTTATGGACAGCAGGGGTGCAGGTGACGGGGGGAAGAGTCACAGGAGATGAGATCTGAAGGGGCCCAGAGACAGGTATTTAAAGGTCTTGGTTGCCTTCGGAGTGCATTAAACTTGGTTCCATCTTTAGAGAATGCATGTAGATGCCATTTTATATTTAAAAAAAAGGGATGGGGCAAGGGCAAAGAAAGCTTTAGGAAAAGAGGAACAGTTCACAGATAAGGACTTACAAGAACACAAAGAAGAGGAAAAAAGACCAACTGAGGAAGGGAGAGCAATCAGGCCCAAGGAAACAGCAGCCACAGTCTAGACCGGAGGTGAGAAGAACCCCAAGTGGAAGGAGGAGTGGGGAGGGACAGGGAGACAGAGCCGAGGTGAAGAGCAGTGGAAATCTGGCTGTGTCAGAAGCCAAGAGCTCATCGTATAATCAAACTTCACTTCTTCACAAACACCTACCAGTTATATACTTGGGAATCTCCTGAGAAGTGCCCTCAGGACCTGCTTTCCATCCTCCCTTTTTTTTAAACATTATTTTGGATGAAGACTGTTCATTCACATCAGGATCAACTGGGGAATGGTGGATCATTTTGGTATGCCGCTGTCGTGAAGTTCCAGGAAGAAGCTCTAGTTTATTTTCAAAAAGAAAACAAAGAGAAATATGGCAGCCTTACCAGGAACATGGATTACAGTGGAGAACACCATCTGCTGGGTGGCCATGCTAATTAGGTTTTTAGTTCTACAACCACCCTGTAAGGTGGCTATTACTATCTTTCCTTAAAAGAGGAGGCAATCTACCTACAATAGGGAGGTGAATTAACTTGACCAAGGTGATAAAGCTAGCAAGTAGCATGCTGGATAATCTTGTCAGCATGACAAATAAACCTTGCATATAAATTATGAGGGAACTTTTCTCCAAATAGAACAACATAGATTTTAAATCTAAGCTCCCTTAAATACTACAATTTTCATGATTTTGTATATTCAGTCTTTTATCATAACTCTCTGCCACACTCAAGTTGGGAGCCTGTGTTAAATTAAAGAAAAGAAATAAAAGCAAAGTCTCTAAACAAATGTCTATGCATTGAAACCACTGACATCAAATCATGATCTGCAAAGGGAAGGAGAGGCCAGTAGAGAATTTTACAGTGTTCCTCTTATTTCCATTATAATGTTACTAAGCCCCTATAAACCATGAAACATGTTACAAAGTTTGTCACTGGGACATTTAAATGAGATAAGAGGCGTTACGGCTTACTATGTGGCATGATAGGCATCAACTGTTGGATCTGAATCTAAATCTTACAAATATGAGTCTAAAACTTCCTTAATCAGACCCAATGCACACTATTCTTTAAAGTGTCCTCCAAAAGTCCTTGGTCACCTGCTTACTATCTTCCCAAACTGGTATTTTCTACTGCTACCCAAAGAACAACTATCACCTTCGTTATCACTTTTTAAGGTTCTAAAATCAGCACACAAATTAAATGCATATATAATAAACACACTATTTCTTTTAGGAAATAAAGAAATATAATTTAATAATAATTGTGTTAATGTTGAGATATAATATGTCCACTCTAAGATACATACAGCCAATTCTTATCATTCTCAATAGTTATGCTTTATAAAGTCACAATGAACACTGAATTAGCAAATACTGAACCACTGTTCTCAGAAGAAATATATATACGCATATACGTATACATATGCATAAATACATATCACATTGATTGCAATCTCAAATCAAAACAACAACTCATCCTAGTAGATTCTGTTTCCTTTATTTTACAACAGAGAAAAGAGGTTCAGAAGTGTTAAGTGACTGCCTGAGGCCGCCCACAACTAGAACTCAATCCCCAGGAGCTTCCAGCATTATCCCACACTGGCCCACCAGTCTCCACCTCCTGGCCATCTCTGCTCTCAGCTGGGAACCTCAGCTCAGAATGTCCACATGGGGTGACTCAAATCTTTTCCCTCTCCTCTCAAGTCCACAAATAACCACCAAAGTACCATGAGTATTAATTTGGGGGTTACAAATAAACTTAGTGACTAGGTAAATCTGCAAAACAAAATGTGCAAATAATGAAGGTCAACTGTATCTGTTTTTAGTGCAGGTCATTTACCATTTAAATAATAACTATCAGAAAGAGCTGACATAAGCATTTTGATCCAAAGAGAGTGGAGAGAGTACCATGTGTGTCTTACCTTGCTTCTGAGCTTGGAAAGGTTTCCCACCTCCATTATAGTGCTTTGCGCCTCTATCAGCCATGAAGCCAGAGGATAAAGTCACGTTGGTGGGCTGGTTTCTCATTTTCTTAGCATGTTTTCTTTCTTTTGCATTAGACATTTCTGTAAAGAAAATAATAAATTTCATATAGGGAAAGGGAAACTCCATGCAAAAATAAAAATACATTTAGTAAATAAATATTCATGTAACTCAAAATTTGATTCTTCAATACAATAAATCTTCATTTATTATAGGTGGATTGATGATATCAAAATGTTATCACGATCCTGACCTAGAGCAGAGATTCATCACCAGGGTATCTCTAGTGGGGAGCCATGAATGGTATAAACCAAACAAACCCAACTCAATAGAAAAAAATAACTCTAGCGGCGCCTGGGTGGCTCAGTCAGTTAAGCGGCCGACTTCGGCTCAGGTCATGATCTCGCGGTCCGTGAGTTCGAGCCCTGCGTCTGTGCTGACAGCTCAGAGCCTGGAGCCTGTTTCAGATTCTGTGTCTCCCTCTCTCTCTGGCCCTCCGCAGCTCGAGCTCTGTCTCTCTGTCTCAAAAATAAATAAACGTTAAAAAAATTCTATTGATGGAAGAGGCCATTATTAGTATATTCCAGATTACACCTAGCTAAGTGCCTTGCACAAAGTGGGGCTCAATATATATTTGCTGAATGCAAACCTGCGTGCATAAATGGAGCGAAGTGTGCCTATAATACATTTATGAACAGAATAAGAAGTATTTGGCCAAGCACCACGTCTTCTGACACAGCAGGACTATCTGCCAAGAGACCAGCCTATCTTCCTTTTTGAAAGCAGATCCAAGTCACCAGGGCTCTCTGTTCAGATCTGCGGGGAATGCGTAGAGACCTGTAAGGCTAGAAGGAGCACTCATGAATGGGAACATGGGCGGGGCCTAAGGTGGAAGAGCCCAGATCTCAGAGTGGTCGCCTGAATGACCCAACTCATTCCTTCAGAGTGGATGGCAGGAGAGGGGTGCAAGCCCGTTCCGGGGACGGCGTCCGCCCGGCGGGACAATGCAGGGAAATGACCGACGCAGGAGGCTCGCGGCCGGAAAGCGGGGCCCAGGCGCAGGCAGCAAGGGATGAAGGGGGAGGTCAGCGGGGTATGAACAGAAGAAAACCGGGAGGAGAGGCGGAACGGTGCGCGGGCGCCTGGCGGGGGCCGCCACGCACACTTCCCCCAGACTCGCGGACCCTGAGAGACACCAGCCCGTCACGACTTACCGGCCAGAGGCTCTGAGGCAGCGCTTCCCGGATCAGAACTACAAGGTCTGCGACGGTCCCTTCTGTGGGGACGTGTGCGGCAAGAGATCTGCAGGGCGCATGCGCCAGCGCGGCCGCGGCCTCCACGTGGCCGGGAGCCTGGCAGAGACTACAACTCCCAGAATGCAGAGCGAACCCGCCCCGGGAAATAAGTTACCACGGGGATTCTGCCCTGGGTTGGTTAGTCCCGTGAGACGCTAGCCGAGGAGGTGTACAGGATTTTTCTCTTGGAGGGGCAGCAAGATAAAAGGGTTAGCCATGACATCTTTAATCAGAAAGGTGATCAGCACTGCGAAAGCTCCAGGGGCCATCGGTCCTTACAGGTAACGAGGCGGGTGGGTGCGTGGAGTCTGGGCTTGTCGGGTCGGGGGTTTGGAGCTGGAGCCACCCGGGGTCAGAACTGAAGCGGGCCTCGGGCTTCATCTGGTCCAGCCTCCTCGAACACACTGAACCCGGAAAAGGGGTAACACACTCTTTCCAGTGGGATCCCCACTGGCAAAGGGAGCTTGTGTTCCCGGGGACTCTGCCCGGACCTGGAGGCCACTGCGTTCCGCCCACCTTAAGGGTCAGGTTTTTTTAATTTGTGGACTTTTTTTTGTTTGTAACCATTTTATCCAGATATAATTCACATACCCATAAAATTCAACCCTTAAAGTGTACAATTCAGTGTTGTTGTTGTTGATTATACAAAGTACTCACCACTACAAAATCAGAATATTTTAATCACCTCCAAAAGAAACCCTATACCCATTAGCAGTGACTCCCCATTTTTTCCCACTAAACCCTGGCAACCACTAATTTACTCTCAGTTTCTCTGGATTCCCCTCTTCTGGACTTCTCCTGTAAATGGTATCCTACAATATGTGGTCCTTTGTGACTGACTCCTTTCACTTAGCATCATGTTTGGTCTAACCCTCTCTTAATTCAAAGGAATAAATCCCATGAACACATGTGAGTGTCTTCTCTGGAGAGTTGAATTCTTTTCGCGGAGATACTTAGCAAATCGCTGCTCGTCTACCCAAGACACTGATATTTATAACCCATAGAGAAATACAATGGATGTTTATAAATTAGTTGCCTATGCTCATTTCCTACTAATAAAATAAAAAAATCACAACGAAAATCATTTGCCAATATTGCCCTGACATGCTTTAGCTAAATGTATGTATACTGGCCAGAAAGTATGCACTGTGTACATGCACTTCCACGTGTCAGAGTGCTGTTAATATAAAAAGGTTAATTGCTTTTTTTAAGTTTATTTATTTTGAGGGGATGGGGGTGGGGAAGAGAGTATCCCAAGCTGACAGTGGAGAGCCTGACTTGCAGCTCATTCACACAAACCCTGAGATTATGACCTGTGCCGAAATTAAGAGTCTGATAAGGTTAATGGACTGAGCCACCCAGAAATTTGTTATTTTCTTAAAATGTCTCTGCTTTAAAGCTATTAAATCTTATCCTATGCATTCTTGGAGACTTTTTGTCTCTAATATAATTTTTAACTACTTCATAAAGTATACAGTGTACCCTTTTCCCAGTTTTCCTTTTAAAAATATAGTATCTGGGGCGCCTGGGTGGCTTAGTCGGTTAAGCGACCGACTTTCGCTTAGGTCATGATCTCGCGGTTCGTGGGTACGGGCCCCGCGTCGGGCTCTGTGCTGACTGCCAGCTCAGAGCCTGGAGCCAATTTCAGAGTCTGTGTCTCCCTCTCTCTCTGACCCTCCCCTGCTCACGCTGTCTCTGTCTCTCTCCTAGAAATAAATAAAACATTAAAAAATATATATATATAGTATCTGATCACTGTTAAAAGAGTCACAGATGGAAAACTTCTATACCTGAAACACTTGGACTATGACATGCATGTATTGAGTACCTACCCTATGTCAGGCACTGCAGGAGATACAAAAAATGTATAAGAATTAATCCAGTGTGAAAGATATTCAAACATGTAGGAGATAGAAAAGGAAACATTTTCATTTAATGCATGCTGCATGGTGGTCACTATGACAATCACCTTCTTAAGTCCCATCCTCATTTTACACAAAGAAAACCTCTGTCCAAGGTCAGACAGTCCGTAAGTGGCAGAGCTGGATTTGAACAAGCCCTAGCTCCCTCCTCTAAACCATACTGCCATGAGAAATAGCACTTCTTGGTAGCAGAACGGTAATTATTATAGCAGGATTAGAAATAAATGCAGTGGGAGTAAGGCATCAAGGTGGGGGGGTGGGGGGGCGCAGGGATGGCAGAAAAGGAAAAGAAAGAAATTGATGGTAACTGGGGACAGAGGAAGAGAAGGATCTAAGAGGGCTCCTGAGACAGGTAGTCCTTCAGCTGAGTTTTGAAGGTTGGGTTTGCCATTTGTATAGTACTGTCGTAACGTGATCTTTAAAATTACTTTAAGGACTTCACCAGGAAGTCATGGGGTGAAGTTCATTCCAGGTAGAGGGAATGACTTGAGGCATGGTGGTGGAGGAATACATGGCATATTTTTTGGAGGAAGTTTTAGTAATCCAACTACGACTTTTACTTTTTTTTTTTCCATTTGCCAAATCTGTGTACCACCTGTATCATAATTTACTTAACACTTTAACTTAAGGGGTCTCACTTGAAGACATTTAAAAAGGAAATTTTACAGCAGTACTGTAAACAGAAAACAACCTGATGGAAAGTAACAGTGGAAAAATAAACTCAATTAAGTAAAAGGTATTCTTAAATTCTAGGAAGCTGCTGCAATTGGCTCAGAACCCAAGACTGCTCTCTCTGTTAAAAATTATAAATTTCAGGGCACCTGCCTGGTTCAATAGATTAAGTGTTGGACTTCTTTTTTTAGAGAGCTCAAGCTAGGGGGAGGGGTGCAGAGAGGGCAGAAGGAGAGAGAATCTTAAGCAAGCTCCACACTCAGCCTGACACGGGGCTTGATCCTATGACACTGAGATCATGACCTGAGCCGAAAACAAGAGTCCAGTGCTCAACCAGCTGAGTCACCCAGGAGCCCCAAGCATCTGACTCTTGATCTCAGCTCAGGTCTTGATCTCAAGATTGTGAGATTGAGCCCTACGTTGGACTCTACACTGGGCATGAAGCCTACTTCAAAAAAAAAAGTGATAGATTTCTTTTTTCCTTAAAAATGATATTTTTTTCTTTCATATCATTAGAGGATTGATCTCATAATCACTAACATTTATTGATGCTCACTCAGCACAAAGCACTGTTCTAGGTGCTTTAGGTGCACAGTTATTATTACAGTACTCGTTTTTCAGATGAAGAACTTGACCTACACGTGGTTAAATAATATGCCCAAGGTCAACCACTAGGATGGGATATGACAGAATTTGAACTTAGGCAAGCTTTAGAGCTCAATCGTCATCATTAATTTGCTGTCTCTTCCCATGGAATTCCTGAAAGAGAATCGAAAAGGGAATCATTTCCTTACTGTAATTCAGTGTTTGTATGTGACCTACACTTTGAGAAACACAGGCTCGGAGCTGAACTTTGAATCTAAATTTTTGTTTTGCCTCTTGCTAAAAATTAGCTTGTAGCAAGTTCTGGACTGTGATCATTTTCAGTGCCAAACTGAAGAGTATAAACTTTATTTTGTATGCACTGAGGAGCGTTCAAATGTTTTTGGAGAGGAAACGACATGATCAGATTTCTTTCTTTTTTAATGTTTATATTTATTTTGAGAGAGAAAGAACACATGCTAGTGGGGGAGGGGCAGGGGTTAGGTGGGGAGAGAGAGTCCCCAGCAGGTTCCACATTGTCAGCACAGAGCCTGACCTGGGGCTTGAACCCACAAACCATGAGATCATGACCTGAGCTGAAATCAAAAGTCGGACATTTAACTGACGGAGCCACCCAGGCGCCCCCCAGTCAGATTTCTTTTAAGAGGAATAATTATTTGGAAAGGACATTAAGAATAGTTACAGGGGTATTACAATAAAAGTAAAAATCAGCAATCTTTTTCCTCCTCTGCCCTGACCCCTCTCCCTCAATCACCCGGTGGTTTTCCTTCAGAGCAAAAGCAACACTTAACCAGAAACAAAAACAAAATGATTGTAGAGCCTGGAGCATACACCTTCCTCAAGTGTGTACTTTATTGAAGAAAGCAAGCAGGGCAGTAATATGCCTGGTTGACTTTATAGAGCTGCAAGAAAAAAGAAGGGAACTATAATATACCAGTGTGATAGAAAAGATACCAACCAGGGGCGCCTGGGTGGCTTAGTCGGTTAAGCGACCGACTTTCACTTGGGTCATGATCTCGCGGTTCGTGGGTTCGAGCCCCGCGTCGGGCTCTGTGCTGACTGCCAGCTCAGAGCCTGGAGCCTGTTTCAGTCTGTGACTCCCTCTCTCTCTGACCCTCCCCTGCTCACCCTGTCTCTCTCTCTCTCTCTCTCTCCTAGAAATAAATAAAACATTAAAAAAAAAAAAAAAAAGAAAGAAAAGATACCAACCAGCTTCACTCTGTGGGGACTTCCCAGGACATTGTGTCTCTCGTGCTCTTTTGTATCCAGTGATCATACAAGGCCACTAAAAATGGTGCTAATTTTCAATATTTTATCTTGAAGAAAACCACACTCCTAACTAACTAGTTATATCCTGATAAAGCTAATTAGACATGGTTTAAGAACCATCTGAAAACAGATTTTTGTGCAGGGAGTTTGTAATTAGCACAGTTGTTGAAAATTCCAGGTCTTTAGGAAGAATTCAAATGTGTTGAACTTTCAGTCCTTGGCATTGTGATGGATGGGGTGTTGTCACCAATTAACTAATCAGCTGAGCACATTTCAGGAGTACCCCAGGACAGAACCTTGAGTGATTTCAACATCACATTGCATTGCTTTCCATTTTGCTAGCGCACTATCCAAATAGTCGTGACATTTAAAAGTGATGGTCCATGTAGCACAGATTACAATACATAACAATTACAATGAGAATTATTACTAAGATGCTTTTGAAAGTGTTATTATCCTTTGACTTGACAGTAGAACAGTACACTTTTAAATGTTCTGGAAACCTAATGACTTGTCTGTGGATAGTAGGTTTCTTATTCTCAGGAAGGGCCAACTATCTGTTTTTGCGAACAATCTCTTTACTAATCTTTAAGACATAACTCACATAGCTCAGATAGTCTTAGAGGCCTGTTAATCTTCTGAGAATAAATGAATTCCTTTTTACTATTATAAATTTTTTAAAATTTTATTTAGAGAGGGGAGGAGGGAGAGCATTAGTGCGTGTGAACAGGGGAAGGGCAGAGAGAAAGGGTAAGAGAGAATCCCAAACAAGCTACATGCTGACAGCACAGAGCCCCGCTGAGCCCCACAAACCATGAGATCATGACCTGAACCAAAATCAAGAGTCAGATGCTTAATCAGTTGAGCCACCAAGGCACCCCAATACATTTTTTGACCAATGGTAATGAAATGGGCTTAAACTATATTTCATTTATAGAGAGAGTTAAAATTATTTTGCAAAGGGCCCAAGGTAGCCTAATTCTACACAGGACAATTAATAGAAACCTTGTTAGTTGATACTTTTCAACCTGAAAAAAGCTCACACACTAACAAACTCAATAGTTACCTGTTTCTGGGCCAGAGTGAATAGTTATTCTGGGCCAGATAGTTGAGGAGAATTTCTAGACTTTCTAAATCATTAACCAAGTTAAAGTCTACCCTCTTTAGCTCTCCAAGCCCACACAATAAGCCAGTGGGTCCTGCTAAAAAGATATTTTACTAATAGGCAAAGTCATTTAAGCTAGTAAGTAGTTAGACAGCAAAACATCAACAAGAAGTTATTGTGTGCTCACTAGTGCAAGGAATCACGTAGGCCCTGCACAGCTGGAGACAGTAACACACAGCTCCTGCCTTCAAGAAGTTTACAGTCTGGCATGCACCCAGAAATAGGATAAGAACAGAACTAGCTATACTGTAAGATGTGATCCATCCCGTTCATGGTATCAGAAAGGCTCCAGAAAAGCTTAGTATTTGCCCTGGGGAAATTGTGTGTGTGTGTGTGTGTGTGTGTGTGTGTGTGTGTGTGTGTGTGAGATGCAGTTTTCAGTTTTGTTGACAGTAGCAGAGTATTAGAATCAAGGGGTGCCTGGGTGGTTCAGCCGACTCAGTGTTGGACTCTTGATTTCAGCTCAGGTCATGATGTGGTTCATTAGATCAAGTCCCTCATGCTCTCCAATGCCAGTGAGGAATCTGCTTGGGAGTCTCTCTCTCCCTCTTTCTCTCTGTCCCTCCTCTGCTTACAATCTCTCTCTCTGTCTCAAAATAAATAAATAAATAAATACATTTAAAAATATATTGGAATCAATGGTAACTAGTAAAGTTTGTCCATACAATAAAATACTGTGTAGTTGTTAAAAGAATAAGGATGCATTCTGCATATAGTTATAGAAAGATTGTGATATACCATTGAGTGAAAAAATCAAAATGTAGAAAAGCGCTTAGTATACCATACGCTGTATAAACAGGGAGAAGATATATTTAATTTATATATATATGAAATATACATCCATGAAGAAACTTTGGAAGTATGTAAAGGAGAGCATTGGTTTTCTGTAGGGGCTGGAAACTGAGCAGGAGGAGGAAAAGGAGAGAAAGGAGGAGACTTTTTACCGAGATTCATTGTATTTCTAGATTTTTGATCTATGTGAATGTTCTATTCAAAAAATTATTTTTTTTAAATTTTTAATGTTTTTTTTTTAATTTATTTCTGAGAGAGAGAGAGTGTGTGTGTGAGCAGGGGAGGGTCAGAGAGAAAGGGAGATACAGAATCCGAAGCAGGAACCAACTTATCAATAAACTATTTGTAAAAAAAAAAAAAAAAAAAAAAAAACCAACTTATCAATAAACTATTTGTAAAAAAAAAAGAATCCGAAGCAGGTTCCAGGCTCTGAGCCAGCTGTCAGCACAGAGGCCGATGCAGGGCTCAAAGCCACAAACTGTGAGATCATGACCTGAGCCGAAGTCAGACGCTTAACCAACTGAGCCACTCAGGTGCCCCTTTAAAAAATTATTACGAGGAAAATGATAGGGATGCCTGGCTGGCTCAGTCAATAGAGCATGTGACTCTTGATCTCAGGATTGTGAGTTCAACCCCACATTGGGTGTAGAACTTATGTAAACAAATAAATAAATGTGTGTGTATATATATATACATACTATAGTTTACATTATAAAAAGAAAAGATATGGCTGGGAAAATCAGGGGAAACAAAGATTAGAAATGAGAATATAATATTAGAAATGTAAGATTGGAAATGAGAAGATACCCTGTCTACATAAGCATAGAAATGGTAAAACAAATTTTACCTTTAAATTTAAATTGATACCAAAGTTTCTTTATCAACATTTATTTTTTTTTTATTTTTTTTATGTTTTATTTATTTCTGAGAGAAAGACAGAGAGACAGCGTGAACAGGGGAGGGTCAGAGAGAGAGAGGGAGACACAGACTCTGAAACAGGCTCCAGGCTCTGAGCTAGCTGTCAGCACAGAGCCCAATGCAGGGCTCGAACCCACGAACCGTGAGATCATGACCAGAGCTGAAGTCGGACGCTTAACCGACTGAGCCACCCAGGCACCCCTCAACATTTTAAAAATGGTGATAATGCCACTGAACTGTGTACCTAAAAATGGTTAAAATGATAAATTTTATGTTTTATATACATTTTTCCACAATTAAAAAGAGAAACAACAGAGGTGTTTTCCTTATCCAGAAGCTAATAAGTTTTTTTAAGTTGGTTTGTTTGATTCTTTCAAGTCTCGGTGTGGCTTATTCTGTTTCTTGTGATTTTATCCTAATTCTGAAATTTAGTATCCTCATTACAAAACAAGTCATTTCCAAAAGCAAGCGCTTTACAGAAATAAAGCGTTCCCATCATAAGTGGATCCTTAATTGACACTTCAAGAAGCGATAGTGAATCTTGTCTGAGAATAAGTACTTCTTTTCTCACAGTGCTCTTGGCATTGCATTTTTGTTGTTATTGTCTTGCAGCTCTATTGAGGTGTAAGTTACATTCACTTCACTCATTTTAAGTGTAGAGCTCCATGAGTTTAGGTAAATTCTTAGAGCCATGCATTTGCTACCACAGTCAAGTTTTAGCACATTTCCATCACCCACCCCCCAAAATTCCCTCATATCCATTTGTGGTCAGTCCCCACTGGCCCCAGGAAGTCACTAATCTACTTTCTGCTGTTATACTTTCTCTTCGAGAATTTCATATAAGCGGAATCAAATAATATGTAGTCTTTGGTTGGATCTATCACTGGATGTTTATTTTTTGTTTTTCTTTTTTGCTATCATAAATAATGCTGTTCTCAACATTCATGTGAAGTCTTTGGACATATATTTTCCTTTCTTTTTGGTAGCTGCCTAAGAAAGGAATTGCTTGGTTGTATATTAAGTATATGTTTAAGTTTTTAAGAAACTTGCCGAACTATTTTCCAAAGCATCTGTACTGTTTTGCATTCCCACCAACGGTGGGAATATTATAGGGTCCTGGTCACTTCACATCCTGACCAGTACTTACTGTTATCAGTGGCACCTTATTTTGTGTAATGATATCTATTGAGATTTTGCTTTACGTTTTTCTAAGCAGTAATAATGTTGAACATCTTTCATCTACTTCCTGGCTCTTCATATGTCTTCTTTTATGAAATATCTGTTCAAATCACTTGCCCATGTTTTATTGGGTTATACTGAGTTATTCGAGTTCTTTATATATTCTGAGTACAAGTTCTTTGTTAGGTATATGTTTTGCAAATAGTTTCTCCCAATCTGTGACTTGTGTTTCCATTTTCTTAAAGATCTCTTTCAAAAAGCAAAAGGTTTTCATGTTAATGAAGCCCCATTATTAATTCTTTTAGTTTACATTTTGTGCTTTTCATGTCCTAGCAAAGAAATCTTTTAGCATTGACTTTTGTGTTTTATATCTTATATACACACTGGATTTCTGTTTATTGCAGTCAAGCTGTGTTAATCGACAGGACCGTTTACATCTCAGGACAAATAGGCATGGACCCTGCAAGTGGACAGCTTGTGCCAGGTGGGGTGGCAGAGGAAGCCAAACAAGTAAGTCGTTTTTCACATTTGAAGTGCCCTCCTTTATTACTTTTTAATACTGACAGTATTAAGAATCCACTTGGCTGGGGCACCTGGGTGGCTCATTCAGTTAAGTGTCTGACTTTAGCTCAGGTCATGATCTCATGGTCTGTGAGTTCGAGCCCCACGTCAGGCTCTGTGCTGACAGCTCAGAGCCTGGATCGTACTTCAGACTCTATATCTCCCCGTCTCTCTGTCCCTCCTTTGCGCTCTCTCTCTCTCTCTCTCAAAAATAAATAAACATTTAAAAATAATAATAAAAATAAAATAAAATAAAAAATAAATAAATTTAACAAAAAGAATCCACTTGGCTGATTTTTTATAGAGGTTATCAGATAAATGCTTTTAAACTTACTTACTGATTGATTTAAGACAGTTTTATATCAGTAGAAAGTCCAAGCTTTGAGGAATCATTTAACAACAACAAAAAAGTCTACCTTCCAAGGGTGACTTCAAACCTGAGTTCTTGGATAGTCACTAAACTGCAGTCATTATTTTTCAGTATATACATATATCAAACCATCATATTACATACCTAAAAATGATACAATATTATATGTCAGTTTTCTCAATAAAATCACTTAAGTCTCAGTAAAATTATTGAAATCAGATAGCATCTTGCCACTTCCACATGGATTGGGAAATTTCTTAACAGGGCCACTGACCTGCAAAAAAAAAAAAAAAAAAAAAACCCACAAAAGTAACAGTCAGCATTTGTTACTGAGAGAAACCTATCAAAGATTATATGCAATTTTTTTTTTTTTTAAGTAAGAATGAGGCATACAATTCTAATCTAATAAATATAATTAAATTATAATTTTATGCATTCACTGAGTCATTTGTAATATCCAAAGATAGAAAACAATCTAAATGTCCAGCCATAAGAAACTAATGAAATACTGATGAAATAAATCATGCTAGACCCGTACAACTAAATTAATGTGGAAAAATCTCCTAAGATAAATTGTTACACGATAAAATAAAACCCAGATGCAGACCAGCTTGCAGAATATGCTACCATCTGCTGGGGGTGGGGGTGTGGGTGGCATTTATGCTGGTATAAGCATTGACTGCAAGGATATACAAGAAGCTGGGGAAGAGGGAAGTAAGGGTAGGAGACATCTTTTCACTGTATATGGCTTTTTTATAGCTGCTGAATTTTTTTTGCCATAACTATGTATTACCTATTTAGAAGATTTTTTTTTTTTTTTAATAAAAATGTCAGGGTGCCTGGGTGGCTCAGTCGGTTAAGCACCTGACTCTTGATTTCAGCTCAGGTCGTGATCTTATAATCATGAGATCAAGCGCTGCATGAGACTCCACACTGAGTGTGGAGCCTGGTTAAAATTCTCTGTCCTTCTATCTCTCTCTCTCTCTCTCTCTCTCTCCCCCACACCTTCCTCTGCCCCTCCCCCACATGCACGTATATACTCTCAATTCAAAAAAAAAGAAGAAAAAAAATATCAAATATTATAATGTACCCAGTAAAGTGGAAAAGAGTAATGAATTGAAAAAATTGTACATTAAAGAATGAGTGAAAACCTGATGTTTTTCCAAAGGCCAGAGTGTCAAGCATACACCTAATTTACTAATACTGTTTTTTGAGAAAAAGAACTCTTTAAAATCAATTATTGCTTTAAAAGAAAACATGTTTTAATGCTCACTAGCTCTTATTTACCCTCATAGCAATACAGAGTTCAGAACTCCAGAAGCTATCTCTGTTTCAGCTTCATGGACATTGGCTAAGAACTTCGGATCCTCTAGCACTGAAGAAGAGACTTCAGTCCAGTCTTTTTACCCATAGAGGGGACAATGTCTCACTATATTTCAGAAAGATTCATTCCATTATAGGAAAGCCAAGAAGCAGTTCACTTGGTAGCCTAGAAGGAGAATTTCCTAGAAAGGGAGAATTTTCCTGCAACATTAAGCTTCTTAAGGAGGTATTAGTAAAAGTTGACTAATTGAATTGAAACAAAGCTTTAATGTAACATCCATCCAGTGCCTTAGGTCTTTCTTGCCTTGCTTCATAGGCTCTTACAAACATGGGTGAAATTCTGAAAGCTGCTGGCTGTGACTTCACTAATGGTGAGCAATTTGATATTCCCTTACATTTCTGTTTGATACCTCTGTGGTCTTTTTGAAGGACATAAAGCATCCAGTAATAGGCCATGATGTATCTTTGTTGGTTTTGAAAGTTGTTTTAATTTCGGTCCCATTGTAATCAATTCAGTCACAGAACCATGTATGTTTTCCTAAGTAATATTTTTGAGTGAGACCAAATAGCTAAACCTAATAATGATGTATATATATATCTTTTAGTGGTGAAAACAACTGTTTTGCTGGCTGACATAAATGACTTCAACACTGTCAATGACATCTACAAACAGTGTAAGTAATTTGGCTTTATTACTATATTCCATTTTAAGAGAAATGAGTGTATTAACCTTTATGAGTCCATTATGAATTAAGAATGATAGGAGTTGCTAAAGAAATGGCCATAGATCCTGTCCTAAAAGAATTGTCTGATTGGAAACATGCAGTTTGCCGCCATGAAAAAGATCCAAGATACTTCTGTGGAATTCCCTAGAATGATATACTACAGTCTTACAAATTCATTTTCCCAAAGCTTAATATTGGTATACTCTTCTCAGGCTTTTTAAGCCCTCCTAATAATTTTTTTTTTAACACACAGATTGTATTTTTTAATGCTGGGATATGACCTTGCCACCATCACTGTTCTGGCTCTCAGAATCTTTAGCTGGTTAATTACTTAATGGTTTTATGCCTTGGTTTCCTCATATGCAAAATGGGGATAAAACTTTATAGGGTTGTTAGAATGCTTAAGTGAGTTCATTTCACATAAGTATCACCTTAAAAATAAAACCCCATTCGTATCACACAAGATCAAAGTCTCAAAGCATGGGAGTATTTTCCTTTTTCCTAGAAAGCTAAGACATTTTTAAAAGTATTCACTGTCATAGAAATCCTATGGCAAAATATTTTATCAAACAAATATGAGTGTTAGCTTCTCTTTTTCAGTGTTGCTTGTATATGACCACTGATAGATCTATGAAGCACTTACCAGATTCTTGATTGTGCAGTCACAATACAGTGTCTGAAAACTAAAATAAAATTCTTTTAAATTTAGATTTTAAGAGCAGTTTTCCTGCGAGAGCTGCTTACCAGGTTGCTGCTTTGCCTAAAGTAAGTACACTTTAAAATGACTAATGTACACAATTTTAGATTTCTACACTATTATCTGAATATAACAAACTAAGCACTTTGGCAGGAAATTTTTAAAAGAAAAAAAAAATAATCTGTTTTCCAGGATCTTTTTTTTTTTTTTTTAATGTTTACTTACCTTTGAGAGAGACAGAGCCAGAGCACAAGTGGAGGAGGGGCAGAGAGAGAGGGAGACCCAGAATCCAAAGCAAGTTCCAGGCTCTGAGCTGTCAGCATAGAACCCAATGTGGGGCTTGAACCCACAAGTCATGAGATCATGACTTGAGCCGAAATCAGACGCCCAACCAACTGAGTCATCCAGGTGCCCCTCTGTTTTCCAGGATGTTAAAATCTAAAGGAAATACCCAACATTATATGCACAAGGTAAAAAAAAATAAACTTAAGACATTTTTTTAAATTTATTAATTGTCAAGAGAGAGAAAGAGGGAGCACAAGCTGGGGAGGGACAGAGAGAGAGAGGAGACAGAGAATCCCCAGCAGACTCCAGGCTGTCAGCACAGAGGCTGATGCAGGGCTCAGACTCACCAACTGCGAGATCATGACCTGAGCTGAAATCAAGAATCTGATGCTTAATACACTGAGCCACCTAGATGCCCCAGGAAACTTAAGAAATTTTTAAAAGTTGTCTTAAAAATTAAGAAAATTAAAAATTAAGGTCACACATGAACATGAACACAACAGAATCAGGGTACTTAAATTGTAAGAAAAAGTAACATAGCTGTATTATTTTCGCATGAGCCAGGTTAGTGAGTCTTCAGTAAAACAAACAAACAAACAAACAAAACACTTGTATAGTAAAAGCTCTAGATCTTCTATTAGAAAAAGAATCTCAAAACCAGTGGCTCACATATTTTCTCACCATCCTTAATTTGTTATTCGAGCCTAATTAGAAGCTCTTAGCAGCGCGGTATTCCTGTCTACAAAGCAGCAGCTCCCACTGACTTCCCCTGGTAATTTCTTAACATTTTAATTGGCTGTTACCAGAATGGTCAGTATCATCAAACTGAAGTAAGGTATTGGCTATAGTAGAAAAACTTCTGAACTTGGAATCAGAAGACATGGGTTTGAACCTCTGCCACTTAGCTCTGTGTCCTGGGACACGTTGAATTACCTCTCCAGGCTCTGGTGTATCATTGTCAAGACTGAGGAGGGGACACTGTCTGATGGAGCTGCAGCGAGACTCCCGTACGCCAGTGCTTATGAACGTGTTCAGCATGGGAGCCCGGCCTGTCCTGGGTTCTCAGTGAATGCTTCCTCGTCCTTTCCTTCTTGGAGAATTTAATATTAAAAATTCCATATTGCTGTTAGTTGCATGCATTTTTAGTAGGCAGTACGGAGCTCTCTTAATTTGTAAAAAATTACCGGGGCGCCTGGGTGGCTTAGTCGGTTAAGCGTCCGACTTTCGCTTGGGTCATGATCTCGCGGTTCGTGGGTTCAAGCCCCGCGTCGGGCTCTGTGCTGACTGCCAGCTCGGAGCCTGGAGCCTGTTTCGGTCTGTGACTCCCTCTCTCTCTGACCCTTCCCTGCTCACGCTGTCTCTCTCTCTCTCCTAGAAATAAATAAAACATTTAAAAAAAAAAATTTGTAAAAAATTACCTAAAGTTCCTTCCTTGTCTTCCCCGCAGGGGAGCCGGGTAGAGATTGAAGCAGTGGCTGTCCAGGGACCCCTCACAACAGCGTCGCTGTAAGCGGGGCCGGCATGATTTAGCCTGGAATCTCAGCAGCATTTTTAAATTAACATCTTAATCTTTACAGTTGATGTTGGAAAGTGTATGATTGACTAAAACATTGGAAGTTACTATGGAAATACCATATAATTGGGGGAAATGAGCATGAACTGAAGGTCTGATGACAACTCCAGTTACTGGTGTTATAAATCACACACACACTTGTGTGACTGAATGTGAAAAAAGACACACGCATTCTGTACATCTGCAAATAAATGAAAGTAAAGGGAAATAACATGTAGGAGAGAGGGGTTGCTCTTCATGATAAATAATAAAAGCACACCTAATTCAATTAAAGCCTATTAATTTAATGACGTGCAGTATTTAATTCTCACATCAGCTATGTAACTCTGTTTTTACTTGGATAAATTAAAGTACTTAAGTTTGAATGATAGAGGTGAAGGGGAAGAAAGTGGACCACAATTTTCATAGATAATATTTTTCTAATGGAAATAAACAGACATGCAGATTTTCCTTGGTGTGATCTGTTCACTTATTTTTTTTAACAGTTTAATTTATACATTAAAGCACTTACCTAAAGGTGGTGGGAACCATGAAGTTATCTATTTTTTTCTCAAAACTTACTTCTGACTTTCTGTATTTTTACACTGTTGTAACAGGCTGTGTATAACTACTTTGTGTTAAAGTCTTTTAATTTAGACAAGTACCACATGAGTACTTTCTTGCTGTAGAATACATTCCAACGCAGAAGTATATAGATTAAAAAGTAGAAGTACCCAGGGGCGCCTGAGTGGCTCAGTCACTTAAGTGTCCGACTCTTGATTTTGGCTCAGGTCATGAGCCCACAGTTCTTGGGATTGAGCCACCAGCGTGGAGCCTGCTTGAGATTCTCTCTTTTCCTCTCTCTTCTCTGCCCCTCCCCTGCTCACGAACATGCATGCTCTCACTCTCTCTCTCTCTCTCTCTCAAAATAAATAAATAAATAAACTTAAAAAAAAAAAAAGTACCCTTCACTCAGTCTCCCTCCCACAGACAACCACTGCTAAGAGTTTTGAATATAACCAGCAGACCGTTTTCTATTCTTTACATACTTGATCATCCAGTTTGGTTTCAGCTGGTTTACATAAATGGAACTTTATGTATTATTCTCAGATTGCTGTCTTCTGTCTTGAAGATTTTCCATATACATACACATAGGTCTACCTCGTTTTTAAAGCTGTTGTAGAGTGTTCTTTTGTGAGAATATGGCTCAGGTGACTTAACCTCCCCTCCAAACAGTGTTCCGTGTTTCAAGACAATCATATTACAGCAATGCTGCCATAACATTCTTAAACATACACGTACATTCTTAAGTATACAAAATTGTTAGAGCATGTTACATGACAACCATCTCATTTTTATAAAGATAATTTGGTGACCCACTTCTGAATTATTTCCCAGATGTTTCAGCTTATTGTAGAAGTGTCATGCTAATTTGGAAAGCTTGGTCAACCAAAAGGTAACATGAGATGCTGCTAAGAACAGTTTTAAGAGCACAGACTTTGGAGTAATTCCATTGAGGTTCTAGGCCCACATCCACCACTATTAGCCACATGACCTTCAGCTAGCTATTGAACCCCTTAAAGCCTCAGTCTCCTGAGAGATCGTAATTGCACCTCCTCAAAGGGATGTCATAAGGATGAAATAAAATAATGAATATGAAAAATCGCTTTGCAGAGCATAACACACAGCAAAGGCTCAAAAAGGCCACCTCTGTTTAGCAGTATTTAATAATTATTAATCATATGGAATAACGTGTTAGATGGAAAAGTTTCTGCAATTTAGATAACTAAATTTGTTAACAAAAGATAAGTATGACAACTCTTCAAGTATGCATGTTTGAGGAGTATGGCAGAGTGAATTGATAAAACAAGATTAGGCACTGAAAATTATTTTAGACATTTTTACATGATGCAGTATAGTGGTTAAAGTCATGGACTCTAGAGCCAAACTACCTGAGTTCAGATCCTGTTCCACCATTTATAAACTTTACAACTTTGGGCAAGTTTTTTCAGCTCTCATCTGTTCTGTAAAATGTCTCTGATTCATCTATAAAATAGGGATATTAGTGGTACCTACCTTATAAAGTTATAAGGATTAAATAAATTAATACATATAAAGCATTTAGAATAATGCCTGGCACATAGCTATGATGATGATGATAATCCTAGAAGCCTTTCCATTATTTGGCAATAAAAAGAAATGAGCTGTCAAGCCATAAAAAGACATAAGCATTTACTTAAATGCATGTCGCTAAGTGAAAGAAGTCCATCAGAAGAGGCTATACACAGCACGATCCCAGCTAGGACATAATGGAAAAGGTGAAACTATGGAGATGGTAAAATGGATTAGTGGTTGTCAAGGGTCTGGAGATTGGCGGGGAGGTAGGGGAGGGATGAAAAGGTGGAACACAGGAGGTTTTTAGGGCCATGAAACTCTTCTGTATGATACTGTCATGGTGGGTACATGTCATCATGCATTTGTCAAAAACCATAATGCACAGCCCAAAAAGTGATCCCCAGTGTAAACTACAGGTTTCACTTAATCATGTGTCAATACTGGTTCATCAGTTGTAACAAATGTACCAGGCTAATGAAAGATGTTGATAATCAGCAACACTGCAGTGGGGAGAGGGCATGTATGAGTACTCCCTGTCCATAAAAATCTGGGGGGAAAAAATGTGTTTTAAGGACTGTAGCAAAGCAATCTGTGGTAGAGTGTTAAATTGAAAGGTTCCCTTTCAGTTAAAATTTTTGTTCATAGTTAACTGGCATCTCCTAAAAATATGAAGACAGGAAAATCAGCAAGAGGCCAACTCTTCCCCCCCCGCCAAAATGTGCTTGGAAAAATGTGGACAAGTGATGAAATTTGCCTCTCACAACACCTGAACTTAAGTTACCCACCAAAGCTAGTTTATTGCTACATTATACATATCAGAGACTATATAATCTGTGTGCATGATTTTGATAATAAATACCAGATCCACTGAAGCAAGGAACACCGCCAGCACTTGCAGAGCCTCTAAAAGCCATTCTCAGTCGTGTCGTCATCACTTCCCTGAAAGAACTGCAGTCCTAAATTTTATGTTAGTCATTCTTCCTTTGCTTCATAGTTTCACCACGTTCAAGTTAGGCACACAAATGATCATTTAATTTTGCCCGATTTTGAATTTTATATTAATAACGTACTGAATGTGTTTGTCTGACTTGCTTTTTTCACTCAGTATTATGGTTCAAAATTTTTTAAACATCTGTTCATACTGAGTAGATACAAAGGAATATTGGCCACCCATGTTCCCACCACATGTCTGAGACAAAGAACGTTCCTACTGAGGTAGAAGACCTGCTGTGAGGCCCCAGTCCTGACGCCTTCACACTCACCTCAGGAAACCAGCGTCCTGAATTTTGCACTTAACCATTTCTTCTTTTATAATGTATGTTTGAGTCACCAAGCAAAATGTTCTTTTCCTTTACAAGTTTCTGTTTCTGAAGTAAAACAAAAGTGAAATTACTTGGATTGTAATTTGTTTTTAAAGGAATTCTGTTTATTTCATTTTTTTTTCATTCTTGTAATGTTTATTTATATTTGAGAGAGAAATGAGTGCATGAGAGAGTGCATGAGCAGGGGAGGGGCAGAGAGAGAGCGAGACACAGAATCTGAAGCAGGCTCCAGGCTCCAAGCTGTCAGCACAGAGCCCAACGTGGGGCTTGAACTCAGAAGCCTTGAGATCATGACCTAAGCCGAAGTCGGACACATAACGACTGAGCCACCCAGATGCCCCGAAAGGAACTATCTTTAACATTCCACTATTACGATGCTATAGGATTTTTTTAAAGTTTATTTTTATTTATTTTGAGAGAGAGAGAGATAGCAACCAAGGAAGGGCAAAGAGAGGGAGACAGAATCCCAAGCAGGCTCCATGCTGTCAGTGCAGAGCCTGGTGCAAGGCTCAAACTCGTGCACTGTGAGACCATGACCTGAGCTGAAACTAAGAGTTGGGTGCTCAACTGACTGAGCCATCCAGGTGCCCCTGCTATAAGATTTTTAATATACTTTTTACTAGATCAAGGTTTCCTTCGAGCCCTACTTTGCTAAAAGTCCTTCCTTCCCTTCTTCCCTCCCTCCTTCCTTCCATGAGGGAAGCCAAATATTGTCATGAGTGCTGTCAATTTTGAAATAAACAGCCCAAAATTCTTGCCCCGAGGAAGCTTAACTTACAGTGAACAGACAGTAAGAAGACTGGTTAGTTATCAATTGGGCCAATTCATAGAATGGTTAGAGGTTACCAAGGGTTGGATGGTGGGCAGTGGAGAGCTATTGCTTCATGGGTACAGAGTTCCCGTTGAGGATGATGAAAGAGTTTTGGAAACTGATGGTTACACAATGTTGTGAATGTATTTAATCTGCTGAATGGTACACTTAAGAATAGTTAAAATGGTAAATGTTGTTATGTGTGTTTTACCACAATTTTTAAAAAGTTAAAAAACAAAAAAATTATGTGAGATTGTAAAGAGCTTTAAGGAAAAGTAAGGCAAGGGGGGTTGGAGAGCATTGGGGATTACAGGTTTAAGAAGTCAGCAGGAAGGGAAGGCCTCACTGAGATGACACCACAGTTCAAAGTGGTTATTGAAGTCTACTGAATTTTGTCTGTATCTATGACATCATCATATGATTTTTCTTATTCAAGTTGCTAATATGGTAAAGCACAACAAATTACTTTTTTATAATGTAGAACCAATGTCTCACTTCTAGAATAAATTCAACTTGGCCAATATACATGTTTATATAAATATACTCACACATATTTATAATGTGTATGTTTTATACCCTCAGATTTAGAGTGATATATTTTGTTTAGGATCTAAAGATCCCAAACAGTTACATTCATCTGTGAGACTGGCTTTTTCCTCTCGTGAAAGAGTTTATGGTAAATAGAATGTGCCCATAAAACTGTTTGGGCTTGGTAGTTTTCTTCAGGGAACAGTTGTAAACTCCTGATTTGATTCCTTTCATGGTAACAGGAACATTCAGATTTTCTAGTTGTTCTTAAGTCAGCTTTGGTCATTTACATTGTTGTGGGATTTGCACACTTCATCTACATTTTCACATTCATAGGCATCTTTTCAATCTCTTGTATCTGTATGTGCATGCTCCCTTTTCATCTAATATGGCTTATTTGGGCTTCTATTTTTTAAAAAAGTTTATTTATTGTGAGAGGGAGGGAGGGGCAGAGGGTGAGGGAGAAAGAGAGAGAATCCCAAGCAGGCTCTGCACTCTCAGTGCAGAGCCCAACGTGGGGCTCAAACCCACAAAGCACAAGATCACGACCTGAGCCGAAATCCAGAGATGCCCAACCAACTGAGCCACCTAGGCACCCCTTCTATTTTTATCAGTCTTGCCCAGAAGTTTATCAACTTTACTAGCCTTTTTACAGAATCATTTGGGTGGCTTTGTTGAGAGTTTGTTGACTCTTT